AATTGTCGATGGATTCCGTATTAACGCCAAAATATTTGCTATATATATATAAGTTTCGATGTTCGCGGCACATTTACGGAACGTTAGCCACGTGAATGCGGAGATTTTACTGTTGAAAGAATGAATAAACTTTTACTAAATAGCATTAACCATTGTTTTGGTATTGCTAATGCAGCAGAACGTGGATCTATTTTAGATACAGATATATGAGAAAATAGTACTTCTTAAAAAATATTATTACAAATGAAAAGTTATTTGCAACATTTTAATTTTCTTTATCCAAATAAATGTTTTCGTTATCGGGAGATTTAAATGTTAATTAAGAAGATATATTTGTCTTATGTCGAGTTCTTTTTTCTGTTATTTTGGTGGCCAACGAGCAAGCGAACACCTGAATTCGTCAAAATTGCAAAGTGACCGCTGCCCTTAGGACAAAGGAGAGGACGCACAAAAAGAGGATATTTCCTCAACGAACCCTAAAACAACAATTTAAAAGGTAAACTTTGTAAAGGGTTGTATACCCAAACAAACAATATAATCTCATGAATAATAATTATATTGTTATGCTTATAAAACAAAATTTATTAAGATACATTTTCGCATATCTTGTTTCTTTTCCTCATCTATCTACTTCTGTGTTTGGAGCTTTTATTAGAATATAGTATAAGTTATTTAGGCTTACTACTTATACAAAAATATCGTAAGACAATCCTACATACGCTGACTTTTATTTTGATTTGATTGTTTTAATAACGACTAGTTACTAAAGATTTAATTCAATTTTCCTTTATATTAAGTTATAATTTCATACGTCGAGAGAGTACTAAATTTATACTGTAACAATGTAGTTGAAACTTTAACAATATGGATAGTAGGAATTAATGTAATTTTCATATTTGATTCAATATCTCGCATTGAAAGTCTGAGCAAAGTTTCTACAAGTTCTAATTTAGCTAGTTTTAACTTTGACCTCATAACTCTCTTGTATTAACACTGTAGTGGACTGTATACGGTAAATGAAAGCTCTTCTTGATCGGAAAAACTGTCGCCTCTATTACACCTAAACGAATACACCTAGTTACAAAAATAATGTGATATTTATACGTGTTCGCCGCGGCTCTTAACAAACGATACACGTGTTTAACCATTTGTCAGCTATTTATCGTTTCACGCTAATTAAGTTGACATGCACAAATTATTCAAGATCTTAAAAACGAGAGAACAATAATCCAAAAAGAACAAAAACTAAAAAAAAAACTGGTAAGAACACAATATTTTTGCAACTCCAAATTAGTATTTGCTCGTTCTCATAATTAAAATCATAATTTATATTTACTTTGTAAGTATTTCTGCCGTCTGTCGATTTTTTTTTATAATCCCTTTAACTTTGTAGCCATTGTTTTAATGAAATTGTGGTTTCACTAAAATATTTAAAATTATTATCGCAATTGCTTTTAAAATACGCAATAAACGTAGTAAACTAACACTAATTAGTTATAGCATTCAGTATTAATGTTTCCATAACAACGATGACTATACACTTAACTAAAACATTAATATTAATAAAAGTAAATAAATCATACTATGTCGTGTCTTTACTCCGAAAAACTTTAGAAGAACATAAAGATCCACAGGTCGAAAAATACATAGAGAGTCATAAATCGACATAATCGACTGTAGTTTATCACAAAATACATGTTTGTGACAAGAATTATTGCCATAGAAATTTATAGAAACTGTTTGAAAGCTATGCGATAAGAAAATGTATCATAGCATTTTACAAGCTTTTATTCAGTTTCGCCCGTCCCGATGTTTGTCATCAAACCTTGCAAATTAAATTTGATCCACTTCCCGGTTACTGATTGAGCTGAAATTTTGCATACATTTGTAAATCGCACGACAATGAAATATTATGATAACGTGGTGCTGATATGATGATAGAGGTGGAACTTCATCTCAAATCGACACAATCTCTTGTAGTTAGCGCTCGTTTGTGTCTTGTCGAATAGTTGTAATTTTTAGTACTCTTACTTAATAAGAACATATTAAAACGATCGTAATTTCAGACTGAAATGTGACAGCAAGAATATTCAACATTTTTACATTTATTTTTAATTCGTTTAATATGTTTTATATTCAAATAGCATAAATAATTTAATATCTATTACGACATTTTGTTTCTCATAACCTGTATGCGTAGACAAAATAAAAGTAAAGGTACATATTATAAACTGTTCTAAAGGTAATCAGTGCATCCGTTATAGCAAAGACGATTAATTTTAATCACACATTAGTGTCGTGAGAACGGATTTTATTGAGCGTTTACTGTGACTGAGTTCCCTTGATAATGTCTCCACGTAATGAAATTATATTATTTGTGCCATTAAGTTGTTCACGGACGAGTTTATCGTATCGTAAAACTCTTTTATTTATTATGTACTAGTTGTTGCACGCGGCTTCGTCAGCGTGGAAATAACCTATATTACCCCCGCCTCAAGCATTCTACGTAAGATCCGTCAAAAGCGGTCCAGCCGTTATAGAAATAACACGGGACGCGGTCTTGTGAACGGACAGATATTTTGTTATTGTTAGTAGTAAAGTAAATACGTCATATGAACGAAATATATGTTTTCTCACATAACATACAGACATTTTAATTTTATTTATCTATATGTATATTGTTTGTTTTGTCTTATTTTATTGGTATCGCATGGCATTGAAGACTAGACTATCAGGCACCTTGCACGCAATGCAATATCTGAAATATTTAACTAAACATTTTAGTAAAGTATATCAGTGAATTTTATGTCTGTAAAGACTTAATTAAGGTTAACCTTTATCTGTCAATCTGTTATTCGGGTTGTGTATTTTGATACTCATTAGAGGAATAACATTTTAATTAATGTAGCTTTCATAACTTCATGTACATATCAAAGAACGTTGGAATAGTATTTAAGATGCAATATTCTTAGAGCAAAGGATATATTTGGTCGAAACTGTGTCGTAAAGGACTCATTGTTTACAGACAAAGGTCAAGATAAAACTTTATTAGAGTCGACGTATTCATTAACTGACCGTGGACTACGAAGAAAAATAAAGGAAGTCCGTCTGTTTTATATATGTTCATGGAAATCACACAAACAGAATTACAGATATATTTACATATAATATAATGTCATAAGAACACTATAATCAAACATGATTGTCAAACATACACCTAATAGTTTAACTTAACTTTAACAGCTTATTTGTAAGTGAAACAGTATGGCCAATAAAGTACAATCAACTTGATATATTGCTAAAAACTGGTTATTTGGTCTATATTTATAAGAAAGGAAACAAAAGTGCCGTTTAGACAAATATGTAAAGCTAAGACAATGTTCGCAAGAATACCAGCCGCGCTAGACTCAGTGTGAATAATCAATGAGGGAGGTAGCGTTGCCGACGTCAAAATGTTGGCAATTTCAGACACTTCCAGCCGTTTAACTGGAATAACGATGATTAATTTAAATATTCAAAGACCCTTCTCCTAAATGGTGCATACTTAAATATAATGATAAGCGCTAAGAATGTTCAAATATGTTATTTAAAATTTTATCTATTAGAAAAATTATAAAGATCTTTTCGAATATCGCGTTTTACTAGGTTTTTGATTAAAAGTCTACTTATACGCCTCAACTTACTTGGAGCATAGTAGCTTTTTGTATGAATATCAAAGAAGTAAGAGGATCAATAAGGGGGTTAGGGTAGGGTGAGCTGGGGATACCGCCCAGAGCACCGTGCTTAAGGGGGCACCGCAAGCACCAGTCTTTATACCCGACTCTACCCTATCTTTATAAGATTCCTCCAACACAAAAAAAAGGTGGCGCAAAAATCTCGCAAAGGGCGCCAGAAATGCTAAAGCCGGCCCTGGAGTGGTAGCCAGGAGCGCGCCGGGTTACAGGCTTGAGTTGTGTTTGGTTTTGTCTCTCCCAAAAATACTATTGCTCGTGAATTCTTCATCGTAATCTATGAACGAATCCAAAAAACCTCGTATCAAAAACCTCAAAACGGATTTTTAGTTAAGCTAGTACTAGATAAATTCTAAAGACCTGTATTATCTTTGGCAATCATAATATGATTAACGAGCAATAAATTTTGTTATAATGTTAGTAAAGCGTCTGTAAACGTGTCCCTCGTGCGTTATCGAATAAAATAGTTAAAATGCTTCCAGCTCAGATTTCATATCCTATATTACACCGACGACCTTGTGACGTCATACAAATGACTTGGAATATTTTGAAAATTGGTACTTCATTAGATGAGTGTTTATTGAAATCGAACAGTGAGTTTTCATAGCCTAAACATTTGTTCAGTTTGCATATGTGATGCAAGCGCGAATCGCAGTGGCATTCGAATCTGCGATCCCTGTCACTCTGTTAAATTGGTTGTCAACTTGTCATAAACAAGCATATCGCTTCCATCTGGTTAGAAGTATCGCTTCAATGTCTAATTCAACATCATATAATCTTACTTCTATTATAAATGTGAAGGCTGCATGGATCTAGCTTTAATTTGGCATAGATGTAGAACGTCTGGAGGAACTCATAGGCTACTAGGTTTTTTAATTCAGGCGACAACTAGTAGCGAGTTAAGTAGGAAATTCTAGGTATTATGCGAAAAGAAGGACGTCTTCATAGACGATAATTTACTATTTATTGAGGTACTATTTTTAAAATGTACTAGCAGTTGCCTGCGACTTCATTCGCGTAGAATTAAAAAATCTAGTAATAAATATACTGTGTCTTCCGGGAATAGTATAACTTCCCAACAGTAAAAGTGTTTTTTTTTAATCGATTCAGTACTTTCGAAGCCTATTCAATACAAACAAACAATCAAATCTTACTTCTTTGTAATATTATAGAAATTTGTTTTTTTTTCAGTTATGCAGTGGTTTACCTAACCTATACATATTTACAAAACATAAACATATTTTTTTCTTACAAAATAAAACAAAAATGAACTCTTTTAGAAATTTTACTTTTGATAAATAACTACATACATTGAGATCCACATTGAATCAAGACAGTCAAATTTTCCAAGTATCTAGTTTTTTTTTTTGTAAAATAAATAAAAAATCTTAAAATTACAATACACAAATAGAAAAACACCTGGATTTCAGAGTTAATACATGTGCTAAGGTGAATTAAATATTTTTTAAATGTTTTTCAATATAATAATGAAGATTTCTACCCTTATTATTGTACTTATTATAATTTAATTTGTTAATACAATTTAAATATTTAACTTAGAGTTAAAAACTTGGCAAAAATTTGAATTGTAAAAAATGGTCACGAATCCATCCAATTAAATATCGCGTAGATATTTTAACATGAATAGGATTTTATGTATATTTTAAATTTTGACAAAATCAAATATTAGTCAAAATAAAAAAGGAACATCAGTTTTGGATCACAATTCTTTAAATAATTATACTATGATAGCTTATTATATATATTAAAATAAAAAAAAATCGAGAATATTTCCAACGAAGTTATATCGGAAAAAAAATTTCAATCTAACATTTAATTTTTTTTATCTTTAATTTCCAGCCATTATAAAATAAATTAATTCTAAAAACATCAGACCAGATTTTACCACAAATTGTTCCTTTTGCTCATCAAAAATATAACGATACACGACGATACAATTAATTTAGAAGAATTATAAGAAGTTTATTATTTAAAGAATTGTGAATAAAATCGGTAAATAAGTAGATTACATACTCAATAAATATGCAAAAGAAACAAATCGCACTGAGTAACACTTCAATTAAGAAGTACACGTACGATTTTGACGCCTTAAGGCTGACATACACGACTTCTTTCAGCTGTGTTGAAAATTTTCTCCGGGCAATCGGTATTCGTTTTAAACCACAGTCGAAATAAAGTAAACAGAAAATTCCATAAATAGTAGGCATTAACATTATTTACTTTTGCAAAAAAAAATGGTATATAAAATGATAAAGGATGGAATATTACAGTCATGTGAAAAAATCTTTTACCAAAAACATTTTCAGCGTATCAGCTTGTCTATGGTTAAAGGTTAAGATTGAAACAAGATATAGTGAATGTTTGACATATAAATCTCTGAATATTTAGTTGCTGCTAAAATGTTCACCTGTACACAACTTAAAGCAGTATGTGTATATCCACCTTTATCTATTTTAATAAGATGTTAAAAGTTCATAGATAGCTTTAAGCTACGCTAATCAACATTAAAAAGTTCTAGTCTTATTTAAGTAGACCACAAAAATTCCAATACATTTCCACTAATTCATATTTCATAAATAGACAAGAACTAGAATATCTAGTACTTTTTGTATGAAGAATAGTAGAAAAGTAGTGTTGCCAGATACAAATATTTCTACCAACTCTTACTAGAGAATAGTTTATGCAAATATTAAAGTAGAAAAGTGTTCAATATATAATTTTACTAGGTGGTGCGGGATTATTTGTACTCATAGCTTGCTCCAGCGTATCCAGTCTTCGGTACGCATGACCACGACTGTTCCTGCGACGACCTGTTTGACGACCTTCCACAATCAGACCGAGGATCTGAAAATAAATATCATAAATTATCTATAAAACACTTTATATATTCATTAGTACTAATGTATATTACTAGATTTGCCTGCAACACCATCAGAGTGGAAATAAAAAAAAAATTAGTAGCTTATGAGGCTGTGGTCTACATCTATGCCTTTCAGCGAGATCCATGTAGCTGTTCTGAAGATACTTTCTAACAAACATCCATCCATCCAAATATTATACCATTAGTAAGATGGTGCAATAAGGATTCCATGAGATTGTTTGTGTTGTAGCATTAACTAAATGACAAATTAAATTTGATTTTGATGAAACTTTAGGGAATTCTCAAAATAGTTTGTGTATAATTCATATTAATCAACCCACTTCAGATTATTTAGACAATAACAATTGGCTTTGGCATTGCAAAGTATATTAGGATTGACTAATTAATAATTAACAATAATAATTTAGATGGTAACTTACCACTTTAGTAAATTTGCTCTTGTTATGATACAATATGTAGAGAAGAACTACAATAATCACTGCAGTTAGGAAAAATGAGAAGAAATGATCATCATCTTCTGCAAACTCATCTTGTGGCATTTTGGAGATGAATTCTGTAAAAAAATATTTCACACATGAAAGCACATCGACACGCAAAATATTTATTTGAAATTAAATAAGAAAAAAAATTAATAAGTAGCCTATGTGTTCTTCCAGACTTTGTTCTACATTTGTTCGAAATTTCAGCAAAATCGGTTGTGCCGTTCCGGAGATACCTTTAAACAAACATCTATCCATCCATCTAAACATTCGCATTTGTAATATTAGTAAGAAGTAACATAGTCATTTGCAACCTCCTCACATTAATAAAATAGATGGCTACTTTAAAAAAATCATAATATAATTTAAAACCTAAATAACATAACTGTGACTACAAAGGCACGAATTACGTACGACTATTTACGAATTAATAGCCTTGAAAACCATATTTATTCAAACAAACTCATAACAATACCTTTATTATACAATGAACTCATATTTACTTTTACATAATTTATATTTTTGATTATTCTTAACCAGAACGGTTTATTACAATAGCAGTAAAACAAAATTGCTATGAAATTGATCATAATTTCTATCCTTAAATTCTTTTACAAATTATATCTTTTCTACCAACTTGATACAATTATCAACTTGTGGGTTCTCATGTAAATGTTTTGAAAAAACAAATAAACATGAGATTTTTATATCAAACACTATTATAAAATGTTTTACACAAATTTTAACTATTGCAACATATATTTATGAACAACATTGTTATCTGCGTCTTTTCCATAAAGAATGAGAGGGAGAAAAGTATAAAAGTACTAGCTGTTGCCCGCCCCTGTCCTCGCGGAATTAATAAAATACTTAATAAGCATATGTGTTCTTACAAACTATGTTCTACATCTGAGCCAAATTTCATCAAAATCTGTTGTTCTGAAGATACCATCAAACATCCATCCATCCATCTAAACTTTTGCAATTATAATACATACCGCCTGAAGATTTATCTGCATAAGATGTTATTATTGGGGCAATACTTTTAGAGTTATCCTTTGGTTTTTCCTCAACATTTTGTTTATCTCCTTGGCCGATACTAATCTCAGAATTATCTTGAAGATCAGTCTTTTCATCTTCTTCTGAATCTGAAAATTTCATAATAAAGTAGTTAAAATTAATGAAAAAACATATATAACCATAATTATTAAAGTCTGCGCTGCTTTGACTACAATGTTATAGGCAATAGTTAATTTTATCTTAAAGTTGTTAGCTTATAATAGCAGGGATGTTGGAACTGAGGGGCTAGAGTGTCCATAGTAAGAGGTGACTAAGCCATAGTCAAACATTTGTCAAGTGCAGTTTGGTTGACTTCACACAAGCTGTTCAGGTCACACTTTTCATTTGCAATAAGAATGTCATAGTAATGTAAATATGAAATTCGAAAATACATTGGCATGTGGTTAGGATCGAATCAAGTTGATTACAATTATCAAGTAAATCAGGTGTTTAACAACTGACCTATAGGAAATCACTTAGTTTTTTGTATGAAAAATACCTTCATACTAATAAAATAATGAGAATTGCCTAGTTGTGTTTAATTTATATGGATTAATGGCATAGGTAAAGATGAAAACTCTACTCTAATTTGTAAAAGTAAGTAAATTATGGTTTGTAGACATTGATGTATTATTGCACAAAATTGCGCAATATAAGTGACAATGTTAAAAGGTTAAGGTGGTACATTGCATGATTCTCAAATATTGTGCAAGCAAATTAATGTGCAAATTAAAAACAATAATTGAGTTATTATATTCACTACTATTTGCCTATTTATACTTTGTTCATGTCAGTAATATTACTTTGAATCATTATGAAGATAACTGCATAATATGTCAAAACAATGGAATCATAGTGGGTTTTATTGTGATTACACCCACAAATATTAATCATCTTATTCTCCTTAATAGGAAGGAGTAACTCACAGTAAGAATGAATCAACGATGCATTCCCTACATCATAGTAATGTAAAATAAAAATTCAAAACAAGATTTGCAATAGCCTTAGTTCAGTGTCAACAGATGATGTCTGTAGTGAGAAACTTGAGTTAGAGAGAAACCTCTATTAGTGAGAACAGTGCCAACCTTTTGACTCTCGCTTATCCAGGTTTTACTACCCATACAAAGTTACTTATTAAAGACTTACCATGAGTTTCTGACCAAAATCTCTGTTTAAAACATATCATTATCTCTGTTTTGGCAAATATAATGACAGAGATAACAATATTTTTTTAAATTGACATTTTAGTCTCAGAAACTCACGGTTAAAAATGCAAATAACTCACCCATATCATCTTCAATATCATCAACATTAAAATCTTTATCTTTCATCTGATTGTTTAGCAGCTGATCTTCTTTTTCAATATCAACTTTTTTTGGTGGTTGTTCTTCTTCTAGTAATGGTTTTTCGCCCTCCGATTCAATTGTTACTTTATCTTTTTGAGCTACTACTGACTTCTCACTATTATTTACGCCTTCATCAACTTTTGGTATGCTAGGTTCACTTGTTTTCTTTACACCTTCATTTACTTTTATAGCCGTCAGCTCAGAATTAGTATGTTGATCAACCATATTGGGATTAGGTTCTTTGCGTTCTTTGATGTCAGGTTTAACAATGTTTGTTCCAGTTGTTTCAGGCTTGACAGCATTGACAACTTTTGTTTCATCATTTGAGCTCGGAATATTATTTTTAGTAGTGGAAATAACTGTGGTGTTAGCAATAACAGGTTCAGCAACCTTTGTGTCCGTACTAGTAACAACAGGAACTGCAGGAACTATCACATTACTTGCAGATTTAATTTGTGAGCTGTGAACACTTGCTTGAATTATTTTTAATGTGTCTGACCCCCATTTGTAATATTTACAAAAGTTGTTGCTGTCATCACTCGTAATGTCTGCCACTTCACATACCTTGTCACATCGCTTTTTATTATTAAAAACATCTTCCGCTACCTTTTTATACAAAGGTATGTCACTAAAATTTGTAAATTTCCAGTCTTTAGTAATATCTGTGCACATTGAGTCTAAATTAATTACGTTCTGCATATTGTTTATTAAATCGTTTTGCTGTTTTAAATTTGAACTTCCAATTGCGTCACAAAGCTGGGTATTTATATCATAAAAAATTAAGCATTGCATCTCTTTAATTTTTAACGGCGGCACAGTGAAATTGCATTCCGAAATCTTCTCCTTGATTTGTGATACAAGAAACTGGTTTTCGCAGCGGTTTGCAAGAGCTTTGAGGGAATTATCTATTGAGTATACAGTTATGTGGGTACCGATTGGATTGCCTAAACTACGATAGCACGTATTTATTAACAATATTGCAATTATAAAACGAAACATCGTAATTTTTTGAAGTATAAGTTTTAAAATGAAATACAAATCGATTTTTCTACACAGCAAACACTTTTATACAATGCAAATATATTTTAGATTGAAGCTGAAGCTCACTCACATCTCGAACGACATTGACGTTAACGTAGACAATGTTGCCAGCCCAACTTTAGAAAAATAAACCACTATCAAAATAACCCAAATAAAAGGTAAACCGAAAATTGATAAACTATCCCCTAGTTACAATAAGGATTTTTTATGAAATAAATGAAAAATAATAAAACCAACAAATTAATGTTAAAGGTTGCCCGCGTCGCGTTGACTATTGGCTAGTGTCTCGAACGTGGCCTAAGATGGCGCTGCCATAATTTTATGTAGTGGTAAAATTTTGTTACCTGACTAACATAAGAAAAAAAAATAAGAAAGTTGCTCCGGGTTTCTACACAATTTTAAGTTACGTACGTTTAAGTTGCAAGTGTTTATGTACTTTTCTAGTAACGTAATAAATAAGTTAATTAACATTTCCGTATTCAGAAATTTAAAAAGAATGAACTTGAAGTTGAACTTCCATTAAGTAAAATATATTTATCCGTAGAAAAGAAAAAATAAAAGGATCCCATATTAACCCAATGAATTGTCCTCCAGTGTGCTAGTCTTTTGGGCAATTCGCAATAACGTAAAGCTAATGTCCCAAAATCTCCGCGGGATAATTCACACGAAACTGCGGCGTTGCGACCCTATTTAGTCGCCCTTTGCAATATAGAATGAGAAAGGACAAAAAGTAACGGGAAGGAAAACTACGCCTATTACATAACTTTCGAACGTGATTTTCTCAGAATTTTTTTTTAAGACATAATATAATTCTAATGATTGTCCAGCTAATCATTCTAATGATTGTGCTAGTATTCTGCAATCGTAAGAATAATATAAAACACCAGATGATAGAAATAATATGCCTTAATTTTTTAATCGTCAGCCTAGTTTAACCCTATAATTCTTGATTTTCTTAATCCTACAAGTAAAAGCAGTGTGAAAATGAATAACGGATATGTATCCGTAGATATACTTATACAAATGTACTGGTACATACTTTAATAAATTACTGTCCTGTTAGTTGTCGGCAAAATGTAAAACAATTTAAAATAAAAAAAAGAATTTAGAACATTTTTCTGTAAAAAAAGATTTTACAGAAAAATGTTAGATTTACTAGATTCTCAACAAAAAACTTTAAATCACGACGAAAAAACTTTTGCCGTTCTATTATTTCATGAAGAAGTTAGGAAAACTTTTCGAATTATTTTTTTTCGGTACAACTTAACCTAATTTAAGGTACTGGCAATTCTAGTTATTCTTCCGCAATACTAAAATGTCAATAAAACATTAGGTGTATAAGTAATAATTTTGTGGGTATTATTAAAAAGTGCACAACGTGTGTGATTTCGTAGGGAATGCAGTCGTGTCTGGTACTGTACACCGCCTTGTGTCGATTGTGTTTGCATACCTAAGGTCCGCATTTTATTTTTTGAAATGTGATAGTGTTTTTTTTCATGATGTACGGAGTGCTTTTATGTGTAGAGACGTTGTATTGTGATCTATTGATGAAATCCTGTGAAAGCTGAAACGGGCGTCGAATGGTAAGTCATTATTCTGTTTACATAGAGCGTCATACTTTTAGTATAATCATTTCTTTTCGTTAAATTATAAATACAATTGGAAATTATCTACAGATTAATATGCATTGATATCCATATATTTGTAAGATTATAAAGGAATTTGTTTAGACTTTATCTCTTGTAACGTCGTTTACTGTTCAAAACATTTTTTTAATTGACAATTTATAATGTCGATAACATATAAGAAGTTGAAGAAACGAAAAATTATGTCGCTTTTGATGAATAGGGAGAAATATTAAGAAAGTTAGTGGTGCAGTACTACGTTTAGAATTTTCCCCGGTGAATGCAGCGTCGTTAGTCATGTTTAACCTAGATGAATGTTATGTGTAACACGTTTTTTCTTTTTAATAAACAAGAATTTACCTGCAAAGGCTTTCGAGCTACAACTTAAGACCTAATACCGAGATCACGGGATACGTTAGTGACGAGTTAACCAATGAAGTATGCTTAAAGTTTTTGATGATTCTTTTAACAAAAAGTTAGAATGCTAGTTGCATTCTAACTTTTTTTACAACGTACTACATTTTACAGTTGTGCGAAGAACCGTTCATTTAAATGAAAGAGGTAGGAATGTTTTAATTTTTTTTTCTCATATTTGGGTATTGTAATATTTTTCAAAACAGGAAAGGGAAACAATACATGAGTTTTAGTGATACGTCACGACATTGCGTCTGTTATGCCATGGTAAGCAGTTTTTGACGAAACAGTCTGCTTTATAAATTAAACGTAGTGCTCTTTTATGATAACTTTTGAATAAAATGCTACGCGAATAACATCACATACAAAAGTAATCAATGGAATATGAATATCATGTATTTGCAGATAGAAATATAATATTGAAATTTTATAAAGTCATTTTTTACCATGATTTTGATCTGCTTCATACTTGCTCCCATGTTTGCTCCCAATAAGGTTTCGACAAACTGAGATATAATTTAATACGTACGAAAAACAAACTCACCTATTAAGTATAATTAAACTTCCAATGTGGACAGCTCCAGACCACGGAGAAGGTCGCCTACACGATGAACTGATCAGAGCGGCTGTAGTAAGGTCTGGCTTTTATATGATTTAAAAAAATTGGAGATTAGGAAGAAGTGGCGATGGCTTGTAAAGAAGGTCGCTGATACCTGACGACCACGCCCAGTCTCAAAAAACCTGTAACGATTAAGAAGAACGCTTCCCATAAGAAAAACGATGTTGTGATTCAGGGGCTTTTTAAAATAAACTCTAAGGCAAGAGACCGGTAAGTAACATGGTTTGTTTACGATAGAAATGCCGTAAGAGCTTAACATTTTACTATTCCATCACATCAAATTAACTCTAGCAGAGCTAAAAAGTATTGCAATATTTCAGAAATTATACTCTAAAGCCTATTCTATCATTTTAGCCTCTTTGAATGAATATATGAAATCTCTTTCACGTACACGTGGGCTCGTTCAAATTTCATTTATGAAATGGACACGGAAATACCTCTCGAAATGAACGCAGCATAAAAAACCATACATATTTCAAGTACGCTTATTATGATTAAAAATTTGTTCGCATCGCATGCATATGCAAGATATACATTTTTATATTTGCGTATTTTGATGATCATGTTACTTTGTATTGCTAAAACTGTAATTACATAAATAATTATTCACCTATTCTAATATCTAAAATAATCATCACTAAATTAAAATAATTACATGGTTAAACTTATGATAGGATTTCAAATAAATGTATTCAATATCTAAATCTAAAAATAACATATTACAAGCTTCCTGACTTCATAAAATCCTGAAACAATTACATTCGAAGTAGCAACGAATTTTCTTTACGATCCCTTCAACTTGGCATTGTGTTTACAATAACGGAGTTCAAATGGTTTCAATTTGGTCGTCTTTTGTTCGTTAATGTAACATTTAATTTGATACATCCTCAAGGTGTGAAAACGATCTAAGCTCCAAATAATAGTTCCATTGTTTCACACAAAAGAAAGGTATGTTTAATTCTAAGGTTTAATTTTATAAATGAAATGAAAAATAAATCTTAGAATTAAACATTTAAAATAAATTGACGAATAGCTCTATTTATATTTGTTCAAATATTTACTACACAAATTATCTCATACATTCAAACATTAAAAAAGATCTCCGTCTCTTTATATCTTACTTCTTACTAATATTATAAATGCGAATAAACATTCGCATTTATAAGATGGTCGGATGGATGGATGTTTGTTTGAAGGTATCCTCAGAACGGCTCCATGGATCTCGGTAAAATTTGGAATAAATGTAAAACGATTTAAGAACACATAGGCCGCTAATTAAGTTTTTTTTTTATAATTACACGCTGACGGAGTCGCGGGTCACAGCTAGTTGCAGGAAAAATGTATATTTATTAGGTAAATCTTTGTTGAACATTTAAACGCAATTTATTTTTCTGACATAAGTATAATAACAATCAAATATTTTTTACAGAAATGTAGGTTACCATCCACAAACCGACTTCACTGATATTTAATTTTAAAAGGTTATTTCATAATGTTTCTTGCTCTGTTGAAATATTATCAAATATTTAGGTTGCGGTAGGCGATGCGGGAATTAATTTTAATGTTTGGAATGCGCAGAGGAAAATGATACGACTCTACTATCTCTACCTCAATTATGAGAGTACGTGGAACAAAATTAATACAATTCGTAGGCCGCACATATCTGGAAGTCGTCATTTTGTAAATTCATTCAAGATCTGATTAGAAGGGAAAGAGAAATATCTTTTTATGGAGAATATGTGATGAAATACAATTAATTATAGAACTACATACTTCATATTTAATATTATAAATCCGAAAGTTCTATAGATGGATGGATGGATGGAAGTTTGTTACGACGTATGTTCAAATTGGCTTAACGGATCTCCATGAAATTGGGCACAACTGTAGAACACAGTCTAGAACAGTCTTTCCCAAAGTGGGCGATAACGTCCCCTTGTGGGCGCTGCAGGTCTCTAGTTGCGGGTTATAGTAAAAGTATCGTTTAGAATTCTCCGTTAATATACTCATATAGGTCATAATAATTAATTAATTTAATTTGAATTTTTTAAATATGTAAAAATATGGGGGCGCTAAATATATATTTATTCTCAAAGTGGACAATAGACAAAATAAGTTTGGGAACCACTGGTCTAGAAGAACACATAGGGTATATAAAGTTTTTATTTTAGTTCCGCGCGGACGAAGCCGCAGTCAAAAGCTAGTATAATAAGAACAACATTGTGTTGGAGAATAGTTGAACTAAGTCTACAAAATGTAATATTGGGTTAAAAAATGTTTTGTCCTATTTTTCACATACTCGTATTATATAAGTATACACATATTTAAAATATCAACAGCATCTGTTTCACGCTTTAAGTTAAAATGAAGTTTTCCCTAACTAAAGACTATGGTTATTGTTACAAAGTCGGCATTTAATACCACCTGTGTACCTATACACGGAGATAGAAGCAATATGTTCTAAGATGTAATCATACTTTTTGGTGTTAATTATGATAAGTTTTTAATCGTATAAGCCCGTTCGTCCGAAAATGTTCGTTCGTTCAAAACGCTTTGAATAAATAATCATGACTCCAGCCTACTGAGGTAGACTATCAAGCCCTTTTCAAATAGCACCAGAAAATATCTCGGCGCTGTTGTGATATGTTTAAAATTATTTTAAATTAATATATCGAAAAAAAATTAATTAGACAAAAATTCTATCTTATTTACCGTTCATTTTCTACAGTTATTTTAAAATGTTTTGTTGCTCATTACCTGTATCTTTTGTACAAAGGAAAAGGAAAAGCTAAATGTGTCGGCGTCACTTTGTCTTGTCTTTTGGCTCACGTGTTGGGATAAAGGATGTCGTTGTTTCAAAAAGCTATTGTTTCACTTTGGTCGTGTTCCTTAAAGTTATATGTAATATTAAGTACTTATGATAACGTTGGTGTAAACACTTCTATAACATATTTAGTGTTAAAGGTAAAGGTAAAAAGGATTTGTCTGATTTTGAGCAATTTTCCTCTGCGAATTATACTTGAAAACATACGTGTTTTGTGCTTTTCTTAGGTGCTAAAAATACTTTATGACATTTTAATTTAATATCCCTTAAAGAAAAAAATAGCAATTCTGTAATTAAACAAGTATATTATATGAACAAAGAAATAGCAATGGAATTAGTAAATAAACCAATTGACTGTTCACATGAAATGAAATGCGGTGCATATTATTATGATGTCAGATGTAGAACTAATGACACCATTATGAATCCAATGATAATTATACAGGGTGTAATAATATGTTACCAGATAACAATTGCTATAAAAAAGCTTCAGTAGCACGTATTCTAACATATTACTTTCAGTGTTCACGTTGAGCTTAATAAACGTATTTAACATAATGGAAGAGAAATGGTCGTATTTCAGTTTGAAGCCGCATTTAAGGAATTTGCGCTTCGGTGGGTACTGCGCATTAGATCCCAGTACCCCACCGAGACGTTTATATCTTCACAATACATACATGAGATTTGTATTATTCGCTGCAATCATTTTTATGATTCAACACGCGATTAAAGTTTATGAAGTTAGTATTTACTTTAGTATAATAATATAAATAATCATTTATTAACTTATTTTATATATATTTTATTTAAAAAATAGCGTCAAAATATATTGTATGAAATAGTGTGCCCATCGGCTGCGGAATCCCATGACTCAAGCAAGCAGTGGTCAGGGCTGCAGGGACACAATCCACATTTAATTATTAATATATATTTCAAGCGTTTCAAAAATAATGACGCGATAACCCTTTTGATGCTCGATACCTGAATGCTTACCTTTAGGCAAAGTAATAGGATTAAAATGGTTAACATTTTTTTCTTTTTGAGGTGCGTAATGATATGAACACATTGATGGACACGATGTTTCTATTGTTCACTTACTTCGGCTCTATTTATAAGCAAATAATTATGCTTGTAAAAGCTAAACAAGTGCAAGAACTTTTAAACACAATGAAAGGTATGCCGTGTATTTTTTATACTTTCTTATTATATTATTATATATTAATTGAATCAATTAAAAGAATTATGAATTATCTACGTATCGGACAAGTAAACTATATTTCATAGTAAAAACTAATAAAATATACATATTTTTAGCCTACTTCACTGTTAAAGATATTTTTGGTAAATTACTAAAATTGTGTTATAAAAGGTTCTCTTATTCGTCTATCGAATGAAAATGAAATCAGATCAAATAAAAATGACGTGTATCAAAAAAAAAGTCAATAAATTTTTCTAAATTACGATATATATCTTTTTTTTTAAATAACTTTTTATTGATAAACATTAGAAATTTTCAAAATAAAAATCTTCTGAAAACATTTTTATCGTAGTTACTCTATACATAGAAATATAAAATGGGTTAATGCGTTGTTACAATATTTTTGAAATCGGATTACTGTTACCGGGAAGAATGACATGAAATGAATGAACACAATTGGTAGAGTACGCTTGATCAATTCAAGGAATAAGTAAAACAATAATAATTGAATGTATTATTAACGAATGAATGAAAAATAACAAAGACCAATTATGTTTTCGGCTATTTCATTTTATTGTCGTGTATCAATGAGAAATTAATATCTTATTGCGTAAATATTTTGCTTGAATTAAACCAGTGGAATAAATCTGCTTTGGGAATTTCTTTGTCAATTAATAACTTTAAACAAATATTGGTCTTAGTATTCTGGGAAACATTTCTAATAAGAACTGAAAAGAAGGCGTATAATTTTGTATTTGTAATCTAGATGTATATTTTTATAGGAGATTTATTTAATCAACCAGAAGAAAAACACCATGAGCTGCTCAAAGATACAGCTCGTGAAGCAAAAATTCTTGTAAATATATACAGTTCAACATCAGTAGTTACTTGTTTTCTTATGGCCTTGTATCTACACATTTTATATTCTCAAGGAACGCACGTCGAATTTTCTATTTGGTTTCCTTTTGAACCAGATACAAAACCGAAGTAAGTTCCTTAAGTTATTTTGTTCATTCATTTAATTCATTTAATGATAACTTCTTTCTAGGTTTAACTGATATGAACACCTTGATAGTGATAGTAGATTCTATAAACTTTCTTTGATGTTTTCCCTTCTCACAAATAAAAAGTTTAGTAAAGCTACCATAAGATTATGGACGCAGATTCTTTGTAAAGCGATAGCATAGACATTTGCCACTCTATTGAATAGTAAAATTGAATACAATTGGAATTTAGTTGTAGCTTGTACTGTTATATCTTTTTACGATATGGTGTTAACAAGTCATGTTGTTTCAGATTTTATTTTGCTTTATTTTATTACTATATCCAGATTACTTGGATTGCGTTTAATATAACAACGCTAGATGCATTTATAACATTCTTTTTGCATCAATGTACAACACAAATGAATATTTTAAGGTTAGACATTCTAGACACTACAATATTTTAAATTTTATAGGCACAATAAAATGTCATGTCGTTTATGAGGTTTTTTTTAGGTACGACCTGGAAAATTTTGTAGAATCCTGTAAAATTAAATCTACAAATTCAAAAATACCTTTATCGCAAGCCTATGATATGAAATTCAAGAATATGGCTCTACATTTTTTAGAAATTCATAAGTAAGTATTTATACATAGTTCACATTGAAACCATACTGTCAGGCGAATTGAGCAATATTTATCAGATGAGGAGAATGTTTTAGGATGACGACCAACAAAATTTTTTGTAAACTGTCTCTATTTTTTAGATTTTTTGCAAAAGTCGAAGCGACATACAGTGGGGCTATATTTTGTCAGTTTTTGTTTGGTGCCTGGATTCTGTGCACCACCGCCTACAGATTTGTTGAAGTATGTATAACACTTATTTGCATTAAAATTTAATTTTGAACATACCTTGGTTATCTCGAAAGGAAGTAAAAAAAATTATAATATAACATATTGTATTTTTTGCAGATTGACAAAACATCATTAGCCTGTTTTACAATCATATTATTTTTGATGTGCATATTTGCGGAATTATTTTTGTTTTGTTTCTATGGCAGCAAACTAACGGATGCGGTTGGTATTCCATTTTAATAAATACAAGAATGCTCTTAATTTTTCCACAAAATTAAAACATCACGGTCATTTCTAGTAAGTGGTTGTTTATGATTAACATCTATACTAGTAATATAAAGAGGAAAAATTTATATATTAACATGTAACGAATAAACTCAAAAACTTCTGGACTTATTTCAAAAATTCTTTTGCCATTAGAAAGCTACATTATCACTGAATTACAAAGACTATTTTACTACATTTCATAATTCGTACTGACGAAGTCGCGGGCGAAAGCAAGTTTACAATATTTTAATTTTAGTTATAACTCTAACATAAAAGCAATGTTTTCCGTTTTCTATAACCGAGCTGAAATGTAAATATTTTTCGTTCTCTTCTAGAGTGAAAAGTTAATGGATTCGGCGTATTTTTTGGATTGGGTAGAAATTCCAATTAAACATAAAAAAGATCTAATGTTATTTATGGAGATGATAAAGAAACCGATAATGCCCACTGCGGGTTCAATAGCGCCGCTTGCAAATACTACATTCGTTTCAGTAAGTTTCTAGAATTCATTTTCAACTAAACACCGTCAATTTTATTTAATAACTCTACCGTCCGTAGTGGTAGAGCAACTTCTAAATCTGAATTCTAAAATCTGTAATATGACAATATTTTTAAGAAAAGATTTTTATTATTCTACTTAAGGTTTTGTTTTATCTGTTCTCTTTGCATTCCAGATAGTTAAAAGTTCTTACTCTTTCTACGCCTTTCTAAAAAATTCGGAAAGTTAAACCAATTACTACTATATTTATTACTTCTCAGTGCATTATTTTTTAATATGGTAATAAATGAAATTCTTCACAAACTTTAACTTTTTAAACTTATAAAAGCACTATATATTTAGTTTTATTTTATTGAAAAGCAAAAAGTCTCGCGGCATTTGTTTTCCGAATCATTAAAAATAAATAAAATTATACAAAAATAAATTGTTTACTTTTATATGTATAATAAAATACCAGATTGTTTTTTGTTTTGTCAAATATAATGACAGAGACGACGATATGTTTTATACCGAGTCTTTGGTCTCAGAAACCATCTGTTTCTCGTAAATATAAGTCAAAAAGTCATTAGAGATGTATTCAGAAAGTAAGTTCACATTTTTCTCTCTATGGTGACATTTGAGAATCATCTTTAAACCCAAACGTAAAATAGACGATGGCCTTGAGTAGTGAAATGAAATATTAAGAAAATCTTGGTGCTATCTGCATTTATACTGGTAAGCCACAGAGAATACCCCCAGGTCATGGATACTGTTTAACCTAAATAACTGAAGTTACTCATATTTTGGTTTAAAAGCTGAAATACACAAAACTTCATACGAATTCATAAAGTCAAGGCTACATTCAATTGCACTTTTAACCGTAATTATACGAGACATATTTTAAAAAATATTTTGTAATTTTTCATCAAGTAATTTTAACAATTCCATTTAGAGAAAAAGTATGATAGTTTATAATACTTTTAGAATTTATACCATTTTCATCCTTATTCATCTTATGTGATTAAAGTTTTATAATCCTTAGGGTTAAGCCTTTCGCTAAGTTAGTGGAACGGTTAAATTTTAACCGTCTTTTATTAAATCATATTTCATTTTATAACACAAACTTTTGTCATTTGCATTCATTTAATGGTGAAAAAAATATGACTAAAATATTTAATATGAAACTAAAAACTCGTTTCGATATCAAATCGAAAACATTTTTAATAAAAACTGCAAGGACAAGCAAAATGCATTTGAAAACATATTGAATTTTAATAAAATCCAGTTATTGAGTTTGTAATCATAGCGATCCAATTGGATGCCGAGAAAGGCGAAAACGAAAGAGAACAACCTCAATTATTTTCAGTTTTATTTTAAATAATCTTGTTGCTATACACGTGGTGTTTGTTCGTAATTATATCTGAAAATAGGCTTTAACAATCAATTTAGTTATTGGATAAATAGTCACAATATAGTGATGTAAGTCTTTGGAATAGCGACGTAACGTAAATAAAATATAGATATAGTTAACTTTATATCAAAATTGAAGCTCAAAGATTAGTTTACACAGACGGTAACATATCGAAATTAAAGGAATAGGCCAAAGAGCGTTGTAGTAATCTCGTACGTGCATGTTAGGATTAGATTGGCCTCGTGTAAATTTGCTTCACGTTCAAATGAGTCTATCCCAAGGGTCGTCCTGCTGACGTACTTGCGGCCTCTTGCCTTTATAAACTGAATAACTGTATAAGTTTTATGTATATACACTCACGCTAATAATCTAAAGGGTAGACAGGGATTAGGGATTTCCACTTGATGTGAATTATCTCGCTTCTTTTACATCCATATATATACACAACATAAATATCTACGGACGCAACATCTAACAAGCTAGTTACTACTTCCTGATATAATCATCGTAAATGTATTTCTTATTCCGAGTTTCTCAGACCAAATTCTCGTTCAAACCATATTTGTTTTCTCAGTTTCGTCAAAGATTATGATAAGGATGACGATATGTTTTATACAGATTTTGGTTTCGGAAACGTTCAGAGACACTAGAAATCCTTGTTTTGTAATTTTAATGGTTAAGTACGCAAAGGCAATGACGCTGAAAGAAAAATAAATAGGTCATTTTTTTTAAATGTTACATTAATGAGAAATAAATAGCTTTACGAAGTTTATTATATCCTCAACTACGTACTCTCGAGATGTATACGCTTTCATTAAGCTACTGGGCAAATAATATTTAAAATATTTCGTAAACTTTTTAAATAAAATAATTATAATCGTTTGGATGATACCTCTTCAGAGAAATGGAGAATTAAAGTGACTTAATTTAATAAAGCTGAAAAATGTTACTTCAAACTTGCAACGACTATAAAAACTTGGATATTTTAATAAATTGAGGACTTTATGAGTTAATCCTCTTTGCAATGAAAGAACTCATTATATGTCAAAATATATTTTGCATTTATAATTAGAACAAGATAATACTATAAAAATGTATGATGGCTATTTAATGTATGAGTGATAGGTGACTAAATATGATAGGTACCTACTATGTACAATTATATGTAAGACTAAATGGATTATTTTTGTGCAAGGTGTATAATCAATCTAAATTACAATAAGATTATATTAGTTTATTTTTTAAATATTGTAAAATAATAGAGGAAATTGTTTCTAAGTCTTGTATCCTAAAAGAGAAATTTACTAAAGATATTACAGTGTATACACAAAAGCAGATTTAAAATTTATTAATTAACTTAAGTCAGAGTTGTTGATACACAGTTGGGAGGCAGCGGCGCGTTTAATTATGTATGGTAATAAGCTCCCTGAGACACGTCCTCTTTTTACGGCACTCATTACCTCGTGTTCTCTGATAATAAAACAATGATAGCCAACTTCGCTTTATTCTCCCCATATCGACATGACGTCACGTTCATACTTTACTCTGAAACATGGGAAACCTTTTTTTCAGGTAAACACGGTGTGTGTGAACAGTATTCTTTGGGCATAACCATAATAAGACTGTTTTATATATCTAACTATTCCGATGTTTCTAAAGATTTTCATTTTATTAATTTAATTGTAAATTTTAGTTAAATTCTGAGGTTTTTATTAACAATACAAGTAAAAAGTCTGTAATAAATATCTTATTCGCCTTTAAATTCACCACAACTTATTATTTAAATCATTATCACAGTACTAAGTACGATAGATCTTACCGAAATATCTCATACTTCTTTATCTCTGTTTTTTCACTGAAAATGAAAGAGACAGCAATCTGTTTTGTATATGTGTTTCGGCAATGGAAACCGTACATTATACTAGAGCCTTGCCGTTAGAGTTTCATCCAATTTTGCATTCAATCTAGTGCCGCAAGAATTGCTTCTTTTGAGATGACCCGCCACTTTCATCCCTCGTAAAGCGTGACCTTATCTTGCTTATACGATTTACGAAATTGAACGTTTCAACTATTTTAAGGAAAAGTCATAGCCCGTGCTTTTTTTTTTAATTTACTTATATCAAATACTTGTACTTTTAAGTATGGGTTGCTTCTACCGATTCATCGGTTCATTAATATGTTGGACATTCTATAAAAGAATTAGAATACATGAATTTTTGATTCAAGTATTTCAAAATGGAATCTCGAGCTATAATAAAATTATTAGAATCTATATGTTTGAATTTTATTGAATTAACTTCTTTTCAAATGCACATATTTTTTGGCTGGACTCCAGAAAGTATTGTAACGTTTTTTACTTAATGGTAACATTAATACACTGTATATCGGCAAACGAAAGCCATGTGTATTAATTAATACCTTTATTAAGTCAACACTGTGAAATATAACGTAATTTTAAAACATTTCTTTCACCCCATAGAATACTCTTAGCGACTAGAATCGTCAGGTTTTGAAGCTTTGCGTAGCTGTGTACTTGCCTTATGTACGAAGAGTCTTTACTATTATCAAGTTTGTTTGTTATCAACATTATTTTATATCGCAAAGTCATCGCGATTGTCACTATCCAATGTGATAGAATGAATTAATATTTCAACTTGGTTTCATACAAAATTAAAGGGATTTATATTAATAAACGGTATAACATAACATTTACCGTGTTCAGGAATTTCTTTAACGGTATAACAGATCGTAACTTATAAAACATGACACATGGTTGTCATAAGTCTCCGAACAAAACCCAAGCGGAGTTGCAGCCTTGTAATTAAATACGGTGAAGATTTATCTGACAACATTTCTCATATACTTTTTTCTTCTTTCTTTGGTAGCAATTTCTTATTCGCACAAAATTGTGTACAAGTAAAAGAAGTTAGGAAGTTTTGAAAAAACAACATTAAGTATTAGTTTAAATAATCAGTGTGGGTAGATAAAAAATTGTGTTTTTTTTATATCATAATGTGGCAAACGAGCGAGCGGTCACCTGAAATCACTGAAATAGCGAAGTGACCGTTGCCCATAGACATACGCAATTGCATATGTCTTGCCTACCTTTAATCGATGGAGGAGAGGATGCACAGAAAGAAAAAATATTTTCGCTTTCCATTCATCTTCTCATCCGGTAAGTCCACTTCCACTTCCCATCTTTTCCTTATAAGAAAAAGGGTGGGAAGGAAAAGAGGACTAAATTAGGCCTCCGGGACGCACACTCATCAGACGAAACGCGGAATTGCTTCCACTTCACGCCTGTCTTCTATGTGGTCGTAGTATTTCACCGGGCGAGCCAGGCCAATTCGTGCGAAGATGTTAAAGCGGGCTCTACCACTGTTAAGATTACTTTTTCCCCGAACATACAGCATGGAGTGCACAAAGGACCGACTTGTAAACACTACATCCATAAATATTAGTGTGTACCAAACTATGGTATTTATCTCATGTTCCATTCTGCTTTTAACGCATGCAAACAAAAATAACTCATATGTAAAAAAACGTTATTTTTACTTTTAAAAATGGAGTCCTAAAATTCAAATGTAGGCCACACAAATTGCTATATTCGTACTATACAAACGTACATCTGACAAATATATTTGGAAACTAATTATAGTTGTTAAATTCCGTGCAGTCGGATTTACGTCGACATGGATTTATGAACATCGTTTAGTGACGTGTTACATATAATGAGAGTCAATCAAACAAATTTGATTGGGGTTAGGAAAGCATTTTATATTCACACTGATTCATTTATTTTATGACATATAATTCATTTATTTTGTATTAGTTTTTAACTTTAAATATGAATATAAATTACGACTTAAGCGTATCATATGATACCTGTAAATAGGGGTGAATAGAAACAAAACTCGAGACGCCTTTACACTGTAATGTGCAAGGATATTCGTTAACATATAACTTTATTTCTGAATTTTATCTGTGAAGGAAATCATGGTGTAAAAGCTATTTCTAGTTTTTTTTTAATCCGCGTGGACGGCGTCGTGGCCGATAGCTATTGTTAAATAATCATACAATATTAAAATTACAATGTTTGCTTGTCTGTTTGCAAGTTTGCATTTGTTACGAGTAATCTCCGAAACAACTAGGCCGATTTTGATCACGTCACTGGCAGCTGCCAATTAGCAATTATTTTTAACCTGCGCGAAAGTTGATCACCCCAGTGTTGAGAGCGACAGTCAAGGTCTCCGCTAAGTTGGCAATTGTTTGCACGGTGACGCAACAAAAGTTGCTAAGCGACTATCCCGCATTTATAATAAACTCAGTTTGGATTTCTGTATTTTAATTCAAATGATAAACCAAATATACCAATCTTAGAATATTGGTTATTCTTTTAAAATAATCTTGATGTCTTAGTACTTGAGATAGCGATATTTTACTTGATTCCTAATACTTCGTTTTTAGCCCTTCAATAAAAAAACTCTCCTAGATTTTAGCTTTTCGGATAATAAAATTAGTTTAATGTACACGACCAATATTACACTCTTGTATACACGTGTTTATTAACTAAAGTGACGACTCGGTAGTAGAGGCTTTCAGCTTAGTTAAAGTTAAAGAGATTTAGTCTAGCACTCTCAGCGCTAGACCACTTCAAGCCCGGTAACCTGTAGACGTAGCCTCAAAATAAACAGTAGTCATCAGTTACAAATAAATGGTTAACATTTTGTTTATTGCTAAATATTTTCCTTTTTTATTACGACGATACTTTTTACCGTGCCGGCCAGAATTATTTCAGGTAACATGTAATTAATTAGATATTGTTTTTTTTTTAATTTGTTCGGCCTGCAGTAATTTCAGCATGTTATAATAAGGAAGTCTTATAAGGAAGTTTCGTTTTTAATTAATAATTGATCGCGACGATATGTATAGATTTCCTAAATATAGCTTGCGTTCTGCGTAACATATCATTATTCACTATTAAACATATTTTATTCAGATATTATGATTCCAAGGTGAGGGAGCTCAGATTTAACTACATTTTTAAGTAAAAAATGTGTCTCGTAACTTATTTTTTATAGATAAGTAGGTGACCTCTTTTAACATGCCCGCTGTAAATAGAAGACAACGTTTTATACAAAATATTATTTTTAATTTTGTACGTTTATAACTTTTGCCAAAAAAAATGTACAAATGTGGTCAACAATTTTCTAGTATGATGTCCGAAGTAGACAAATTCAAATATATAAAAATTTACAGATGTTATAAATATTTATTTCTATTTCTGCTTATCTTCTACTTATTAATTCAAATTGATAAATATATAAGTCGAATATAACGAATAATATTGGAAGCGCATGTGCACCGGACGGAACGACGAATTTATGAAAACACCGCTTACGCCGTAGCGTTCCGGCAGTCCTTTTCCTACGGCGTAGGCGTCTACACGGTAGGTGTCTGCTACGCCGCTACAACGCTACGTATATTAAATTCAAATTCTTCTATTGCTTCATTAAAGATGATTCAATATTATTTATAGTTGTTTAGTGTTTTTATATTAAAGATTGAAATGTGAAATGAAAAATGTTCCGTAATCTCTTGCTCTGTTTACATTTTGGACTTGTATTACAAACCGTTATTTCTTTAAAGGACACCGGTGGTGAGTATTCGTTTACCATTTTCATTTCCTTATTGAATGCCGAATTTTATTTACTATAGTTTTTAAGTATTTTATATAATTTATGTACTACTTTAAATTAACATAAATTTTGACGATGGGACACTGTTGGAGTGTTATTTATAAAATTTTAAGAATTGATTGTAGTCATTTGTTTAGGTTTATTAATTTTTATTAATTTCAAAATATATTTGAAGTTCCTCACTATAAAAGCAACATCAACAATTGTTTAAGTTTCCATTGAAATATCTATATAAGCTTTATTGTGGCAAGATTTATTTTTTGAAGAAAAGCAAAAAACTAATTAAAAAAAACTAAGTTAAAAATTATTTTATAGTAATCGTATATTTTTAATATAGTATGTATGGTATATACAAAATGAAATGGGTTAAGAAGACAAAGAGGTGTGCAACAAATAGCAAGATAATAAATCTAAACTGTATTGATTAGTATATGACCCATACTTAAAAGTAATTACTGGTAAGTTATTTTATTGTTTTCAGTCACTGATAATATGTAAAAATAATTATATATTTAAACTATCTTGACAGTTAGTTTTTTAAAAATATTTTCGATAAGAAAAGGCTCGTAGTATTAGTCACGTTTACAATTTGCCTATGTTTAGTAAAGCTAATTATATCTAAATTATTTTTCAGAAACTTCCAGTCCGAAACAATATTTATTGTTCGTAAAATATATATTATAGTTAAATTAAATGGTATTACTGATGATTATATATTTTCCGGGTATATAATAAAACATAACAGAATAAAACCTCCGTATCACATAAGTTCGTATAGAATTTATTTCAGGACCAATTGAAAGACACGTTTCAAATTCCAAATATCGAATCCCGCCCGTAGTAAAAGTATCAATGGCTATTATATACATATATAATACACCTACCAACTGATACAACTCTAGAATCTTGATGTCATGTAATCCACTTTAGGTTTAAGTAATATCAAGTTATACTATGTCACTTAACTTTAAGTTATACGAAGATATCTCAGTAACTTTGGCATCATAAACAAAGGAGTGTGTTTCACAGGAATCGCTCAAATCTCATTAAGTACCTTGAAGTAACCCTTTGATGTTTTTGTATGTAATATGAACAATAAAACCTTTACACTGCTTTTATTCATGACGATATGTTTCTGCGGTTTTACGCATAAGATTGTTAATTTAATGAGTTATGTCTCGCAACCTGTTACACTTCATTTCATTATCATCTTTCTTATTATGAAAGTATTTTTCCATTAACTACATCGTATTCTATTAAATACTTTCTTGTTCCCGGGAATCAAATTATGTCAGAATATTCTCATAACGTTTCATTCAAAGAAATCAATAACTTACTCAAGGTATATGTATAAATTATATACATATATCTGTAGTTACTTTAGAAGTTATATAGTATATTTTAATTAGTAAAATAACTTTATAATATATTTTTATTACTCTGAAATGAAGAGTCAGGATTTATATATTCGTATGTTTGTAACTCATAAACTTTTAAATCGATTTCAGAAAATCTTATATTATTAGAATTCAACGTTATTCTTAACTAAATTGTATTTTATATCATTATGAAATATTATTCATAAATATCCAACCGAAACCAGAATTGGCCGCTAGTCATAATTTACATATATTGAATATTTATTTATTTATTTATTTATTTATTAGACAAGTACACACAACAGATAAATTATGCAACATTGACCAAAGTAATACAATATACAACACAATAAAACTGATAATTTATCCAATAACAGGTGTACAACATTCATACAAAACAAACAAGTATAAAACACAAAAAAAATTATATGAACAAACTAACTAAGGAAAGAAAACAAAAAAAAAATAAAATAATAATCTAACAATATATTTAGGTCTGTGCCTCTGGAGGTGTGGAAATTAGTTTTTTGTAATTACGTAAGGAGGTGCAGAAAATATCAGTAATATCCTTTCCTCTTTTTAATTCGTTGTATGTCCGACATATCCGTGGGATGGGTGAGTTAAGGCCTATGTTTGATTTATAAAAGGGTATATAAAATAATTTGCTTATTGGTTGCCTGGGTGGTCTAAGTGGTACACTGTACATTATTTGACTAACCAAGTTGCTACTGCTAATATGACCCCTAACAATTTTAAACAAGAATAAAAGGTCGTTCGTGCGGCGTCGATTTCGTAGAGATTCCATTTTGAGAAACTTCAGCCTTTGCTCGTATGGACAGCGGTGGCTAATACCTTGCGAAATAAATGCTACATGTTTAGTGAAACATCTCTGTATTCTCTCTATTCTTTGGGAATCCACTGAGTAGAAAGGATTCCACACAGAGCTAGCATATTCCAACTGACTGCGTACTAATGCATGGAACAGGGTTATTCTAGTTTTGTTGTTTTTAAAGTCACGGGTGTTACGTTTTATGAGGCCTAAAAGTTGCGCTGACTGTTTAACTATAGTATCAATGTGACTTTTAAAGTTAAGTGATTTATCAAGTGTGACACCTAAGTCTTTGATCACACTTACACTAGACAGGTTGGTGCCGCACAAACTATAGGTAAAATTATTAGTACGTTTTTTTTTAGAAAATTTTATATGGAAACATTTATTTATATTTAATGACATACAGTTTGCATTGCACCACTCTTCTACGCGTTTTAAATCGTCTTGAAGTAGTCTTTGGGAAGTAATACTAGTAACTTTGGTATAGATTTTTAAGTCGTCTGCGAACAACAGAGCGTTGCAATGTTTGATGTGAGCTGTTATATCGTTAATGAATAATAAAAAAAGGATGGGGCCAATATGGGACCCCTGTGGAACTCCCGAATGCGCTATGTAGCTCGTTGATGTGTAACCACCAACAACTACGATTTGTGAGCGGTTCAGTAGATAAGACGTAAACCACCTAAGAAGCGAACCGTGAATACCGACCCCCTGTAGCTTAGCTACTAGAAGAGAATGACTAACTTTGTCGAAGGCGCTACTAAAATCGGTATAAATTGAGTCGACTTCACATCTTTCATCTAGGGCATCCGCTATATCAGTAACATATTTAACCAGGTTTGTCTGAGTTGATCGACCGGTTCTGAAGCCGTGCTGACTTTCAGACAATAATGGTTCCAGGTAGTTTGTTAGCGTAGGATTCACTAAAGATTCAAACATTTTTGAAATGGACGACAGGATAGAAATAGGTCTGTAGTTACTAACGTCGCTTAAGTCACCTTTTTTGTGAATGGGTATAATCTTAGCTCTCTTCCAGACATCGGGAAAAACTCCTAATCGCAAGGACTTGTTGTATAACATACACAACGGAGGAGAGAGCGTATGGCCACATTTTTTTATAAAATACGGTGGTATAGAGTCAGGTCCTGCAGATTTGTCGTCTTTAAGTTTTTTAATTTTAGTGGCTACTTCTTGTACCGTGAACTGTATGCTGCCTAGCGCAGTGTGTGGCTCTGAGAACACAGGCGATACAGTGGCTGACGTCTTTGTATACACGGAAGAAAAGTGGCTGGCAAAGAGGTTGGCGATATCGGAGCCGTTATCTGCAACGTTGTCCTTGCTGTGCATTGATGCAGGTATTGATGCTTTGTTGGTTCGTTTGTTGTTAATATATCGCCAGAATGATTTAGGATTTTTAGCTATATTGTGTTCGATGTTATCTTTGTATTGTAAGTGAGCCTTCCGAATTAGCTGATGACTACGAGCACGTAAGATATCATAACTAAGTTTATCACGCGGATTGTTGAATCTACGATACCTACGTCTAAACTTTTCTTTTTCACGTAAAATTTTGATGATCCCCCGTGTAAACCAAATAGGAAAGTTACAATTTTTGGGTCGATATAAGGGTACATGCTTATCAATTATCTCATAGATTTTTGAGTAAAAATAGGATACAGATTCATTAATGTCGTCGTGATTAAGTTTTTCAGCCCAATCGATTGAGTTTATACATTTATTTATGGACGCGTAATCAGCTCTGTAGTAGTTTAAACGCTTGTTTTTGTTTTTTGTCAGATATTTTTTAGTCATAGAAGATAAGCATGTTGTGAGTGGTGGATGTTTTGAGTCTAATTTCGTTAGTGTGTCAGAGGCAACAGTTACAACAAGGTTACTAATATTACTTATAACTAGGTCTAGTATTCGGTTATCAACATTCAATGCACTATTGTACTGGAATAAATGATTAACTGCCAAGAAGTCCGTGAAAACTGATCCTAATGAGTTTGAGCAGTTTGAAGGAGTTAGATGCAAATTACTGTCTTCAGGTAGCCAGTTAATAAAATTTAAATTGAAATCTCCTAAGAGTATAACGTCAGATACATTATGTAGGACCTTTTGAGTATTGTCGAGGAAGTCAGACAAGATATGAAATTTCATTGGCGGTGGTAGGTAAACAACACAGATGGCGACATTTTTAATAACGTTATTTAAACAAAGCTGTACGGACACCCAGAGGTCCTCGTTATTACTTTCGAAGCTATACAATCGGTAGGATGGAATAGTACGCAATACTGCCAACATGACCCCACCACCATCCATTTTTGTACCGCGGCAGCATAGTCTGTCCCTGCGATAAACTGTATATCTACTATCGATCATCTCATTAGTAAGAATATTGTGGTTCAGCCATGTTTCAGTAAATGCGATTATACTATAATTGTTACATAAGACGTTTTCGTACACTTCATTCGTCTTAGTTCTAATGCCTCTGGCGTTCTGGTAGTATATAACAACTTCTTCCATAAAGGGAACCGAGTAACTTTTAGATCATTCGCAAATAATTTTGTTAAATAATATATTATCTCTAATTTTTATTTTTTTTTACTGAGCTGTAATAAGAATTCTTGGTTGCGCACAAGCAAAGCAGGGCTTAGTTCGTCTTTTCGAACAAATATCTTGCCATTTCGCACCCATACAAATTTGTAGGAGAGGTCTTTAGCCATTATTCTAGTAGCGGCGTGCAATTGTTTACTAGCTGGACACAAGTGCTCCGACACGTATACCGGCTTGCGATCACCCGAAATTCCTAGATGCTGAGAACTTAATTTGTCTAGGGGCTGTTTTTTGTTGAACCGTGAGACTGCTGCCAGTAGACTGTCGCGCACGCGTGGTGTTCGTAACTTCACGACGATAGCCCTGGGCTTGTTATTATCCTTGTTTACCTTGGCAACTCTGGTTGCCTGTACTATATCTGAATCGGTTAGGGGTTCGCCAACAGTCTTTGCAAGATGATTCACTGCTAAGATGATGTTTTCGGTTCTATGTTCTGGAACGCCGTTGATTTCTATATTGCTTTGTCGTAGATTTTGTTCGATTAGACACAACCGGTTGGCGTAATCTTTGGATGCAGATTGAAGACTTTCGTTTTCGATTTTTAATTTTCTTATCATCTCGTCTTTTTGATTTAGACTGGTCTTGATCTCTTCGACTTGAGTGTTGAAAAAGGACAGAGAGCTTTGAAATTCGCATAGTTGCGTTTTGATGTTCTTAAGCTCTTCTGTGACTAGTTCCTTAATTTTAACCTCCACTGAGTTAGATAGTTCTTTAATTAGCAGCTGCATTTGGTCATCAGGTATATAGTTACAGGTGGGTACGGATGATGGAGGGCTTTTGCCTTTTTTTCTTTTAGTCACGTTCAGGTGATTGTCTTCCGCGTGATGGGCGAGATCTGCTGCAACTGAGCCGGCTCGACTAGGTGGTGAGATTGTATTGTCTCCTTTGGGTTGACGGCTGTGGCATTGAGGGCAAATCCATGCTAGTTTACGTTCTGGTGTCATTGAACGGAAATGTTTCTCGGATATATTCGCACAGACAATATCATACTTGCGTTTACATGTATGACATGCGAGCATTTCTTTTGTTTGTATGGTTCTACGGCAGCCCGCGCAGCTTTGGCCAATTGTCGTCATTGCGATAATCTTATTTCTCAAGTAAGCCGTTTAAATTGTTTACTTCGGCAGCAAAAAATTAATTTAGAATAAAATAATAATAAAAAAAAAAAAAATTATCAAGTAAAATATTTAAAGGAAAACATGTGCGAAATATTGACAAAAAGATTATCGGTGGGCCGGACGCGAATTCCCAACTTTCTGCGTACGCTAGAGATGTTTATCCGTTAGGCCAGTGTTCGTTTAGACAGACAGTTGAAAATTTTGTTCGTATAAACCCGTTGAACTTGTTTTCAAATGACCTTAGATTGTTATTCGGATATTTAGTCACTTTTAGTCAGTCACTTTGTTTTGCACTTTTATCGAGTGTTTACACTATTTATAGTTATGTGAGATTACTTTCAGGCACAGAACACATAAATATCGGTGAACAGTACACGATATTGTTAGATAATGTTGGTTACGCGAACATTTTATGTTAAGCACTAAAACTTTCGTGTGAGGTTAAACTAATTGGAGATAACAATTGTAGACTTTGGGCGGACTGGGAGGAATAAGAGTACACCACTGTTCTATCACTTTGATCAAAAGCAATTAAATATAAGAGAAATAATTACGGAGAACTTGTTTGTTGTGGCACAACTACCCACATATAGTACTTATTAAGTTTTTTTTTTTTTATCACAATAAATATAATTATTATTATATTTATTGTGACTATTCATACAAAATAATTCTATTATCGTAATGACAGCGACGCAGAAAGTATCTGTGCTCGGCAGATGTGAGAATAAAAGCGTGCCCAGTGAGTCGTATCTCAATAATGACGCGTGGATTTAGCGATTCAGGAAATCCCGCTCTACTGCGATTCTTGAATTATCACAACGGCGAAATGTTCTTTTTATTGGCCGATAAGTTACTACTATATTTTGTTATGTATCTTTAATATAAATATCAATTGCTGATCGTTAATCTCGCAAAAACTCGAGAACGGCTGAACAGATTTATTTTATCTTGGTCTTGAAATGTTTGTGGTGGTTTAGGGAAGGTTTTAAAAGTGAGAAAAATTCGAATAACTGCCGGGAACTAATTAAGTTTTTTTTCCACGTGGACGGAGACAGGGCGACAGCTGGTCTTTAAAAAAAATATTAAAAAATTCTATACATTTGTCTTACATACGAAAAGCCATCAACTTTAAATCTTTAATTAATAATGAAAAAAAATACTCGATATGATAAATAGCATTGTTATATTTTAATATTTTTTATTAATACACTTATTGAGTCGATCCAAGATATATAATACTTAGTTATGCAAGTAATAATCTATAAAATCAGTGTTTATTTCACTTAACACACTTCTTACTACGATATACAAGCTTTCCAACTGGCCCATACCTCGAGTCCACTTTTATCGACCTATATTTTTAACTCTCAGGCATTCTATCAATACATTTGCTAACATTCATACATAATTATTTGAATATAAATAATTCGAATAAACTTAAAAATCACTACATGAAATATAATTCAAAATAAAACATCTCATGGCTATAATTTGCCAATATTGAAAATAACCATTGTCTTTTCTTATTTAAACTTGAACTCTAAAGGTTGCCATACTATTATTAGGAACATCATATAATTTAAATTGATTTCCTATCTTGACAATCCCGCATTAATACTATAGGTTATTCCTATATGTTTAGATGGTTGATATCGCGTTAACCTTTGCTGCCTAAGACATCAGATGGTACGTCTCGTTAGTACAGCTATTTCATTAGCGTACGCCGCCTGGCCAACCGGAACGAAGAAATGTTTGCACGCAACCGACTCACTTTAGTTATAAGCGCCTTACCTAGACGTTATTTCAACGTTAGAATTTAGTTTTAATGAAACCCAGAGGGACAATGCTACGCGACAGAAAAGTAGTAATAATTCATATTAGTATAGAACAGATTGGTACATTATACTACCCCCCAGTCGCCGATCACGTGACTTATCGAAAGTCTTAACTGCCTTATAACATTGTCTGTGTGTTGTTTTCGGTGACTTCAAGTACACATTCTAGAACAGATAAGAAATTCATAGTCACTATTGATAATGATATTAATAACTGATTATTAAAATCTGTATCTTAAAATTTCTAAATAAAGTTTATCATAAACGACAATAAATGGCGATACTGGACACGTGCAATAGACTATTAATAATAATTAAGAATAAAAGTTGTGCAATACCAAAAAAAAGGATTTATTAAATTATTCAAGATGTAATAAATTTTGGGGTAAATTAATTCATCAATATTACCCTAAAAGATATTGATCGGTCGCTTAAAGAGAAATGAATTTCTTATGCTTAGGCAAAAGCTCGCGTGTCAAGGAACAATTGTATAGGGCTAAGGTGTGAGCCGAGGGGTCGCCGCCGGGCTTACGGCGATACGCAGATATTTATACTGACTAGCAGAACTTTATATCTCAAAAACATTATTTCGTACTTTAAATTTATTGCACATAATAAATCATAAAATTATAAAGACATTTTAGAAATGTTTATTTTTACAATTGTTATATTTGGTAACATTAAAAACCATTATTTAAGTTATTCAAAACTGTTGACGTGAAGTCAAGATAAAATTGTTATAAATTGCTTACTTTAATCTTTTTTTTGTTACTTAAAAACCTTTGTGATTTAGATATTTTTAACTAGACTTTTAAATTAGCTTAAGTTATAACAAAGTACTATGACCCGGGTAGGATAACAGCTCAAAATAAATCTTACTTTTGCTAATATTATAAATTCGAATATTTAGATGGATGGATGGATGTTTGTCTGAATGTATTCAAAGAACGGCTAAACGGATCTCGATGAAATTTGGCACACATAGAACTAAATCTGGAAGAACTCCTCGGCTACTAATTATGTTTTTTTTTTAATTCCGCGCGGATGGAGCATCGGACAACAGCTAGTTTTGTTCTTAACTCGTCTACACACTACTATTTCCAAGAATATGTCTGTATTCCAAGTATTGTAGGAGAATATATAGTTTAAGGGACTCGAGAGTATTACTATTTAGTTTTATTTCCTAGCAATCGACGTATTCAATCATCAAGTAGAAAGAGAGTGGACCTTTTCATTCATCGAACTCTCGACTTCTATTTAAAAGCAGGCTTCGGTAGTACGTGTAGCTAACATCAATCAGACTGATTGAACTTTTATAAAGGAATTCTACGCGTTTTCGTCGATGTCCAAAACCCATTTAAAAGACGTATCGCTTTACGAGATGATATTCGTTTCTATTTTTACCTTACTGTCAAATAAATTGTAATAGTTACAGTATCAATACTTTTAGACCTTGATAGAATCCTTTGGCGCGAATATATGTTGATGTTTTAAAAAGGCTGATGTCGCGCTGATACACCGGCACAGTGTCGGATTTTCTTCCTAATAATACATATATATATGTTATATTTTTATTACCTCGACAATATGGAGTATGATGTATTGATTTGGAAAGTGACCTTAAAGCTTTATTGTAAATAATGTATCTCCCTAAACTCTGACTGTGGAACTGCAGTTCCATTATCACTTGATAACTATGGACCGAAATTCTAATGTACAGGTTGCTCGACTTTTAACTATACTAAGTAGCTATAAGACTTAATTAACTATAATTTATAATTATCATTTCTTATATTGAGATTTGTTTCCAGAGGTTCCACGCTTCGAAAACAACATGCCCAACCTGACAGTATCACTGGGAAGAGAAGCTATATTTACCTGCGTCGTAAATGACCTGGGCTTATACAGGGTGTGTATTTGTTTATTTTCACTAAAGATGTCTACAATTTTATTTCAATTATAAAAGTAAAATCACAAAGATCGTTAATTCACGTTCGTTAACAACTCAAACGTCAACTGTGATAGAAAATTAAAAATATTAGGTCTGAAGGTGATTTTTTCTTTCAATTTATTTTCAATATAATATCGTTACTATACGTACATTATAAAACAGTTTACAATATGGGGTATACAAAGTAAAAAGGAAAATAATAAAAAAGTTACACACAGCAAAATACAACAATGTTTAGCTAACATTGCTATCCAAATACAACAATTTTCTTCAATTGCTTCATAATACTATAATTATGTTATACCAATAAATATCTTACGTGAACATATTTAATAGAACATTGTGTTTCTGAACTACACATTTTCTAAGTTCCTAACTAGGGTCGTTCGTCTAACAAGCATGACGTTAATTAGAGAGGCCTACTGAGCAGAGCTTGTAATGAGTTAAAACTAGAACCATACTGACAATACGTATACATAAACATAGCTTTTATTTGACATTCTATAAGTATTTTGTGATATTTCCGTAGAAGAGTTCTGTGTTCACGAGTCACTTATTTTTAAAGTGATATGTTCATGGAACCAATGTCATTATCTGTAACCCGTTTTATTCGAATAATTAACAAAGACATAACTATTCTAAAACTTTAATTATATTTGTTTTATTTTATTAAAATTGTAATCTATAAAATGTTCAATGTTGAGACAAACTCACTAAAATCATAACAGCATTGTTAGTATCTACTACGTATATAAATTAAGTGAAACTATGTTAAACATTCAGTGCTATCGTTAATATTTAATAGACTGTACCACTGTTTGTACACTTTAATACCTTACTACATAATTAATGGGAATTACGAGTATGTAGCACCCTAACAATACAAATAGTATCATTTAACTACCGAAAACCTTTACTTTATCCATCGTCCTTTATTTGAAGTACTATACTTCGTTTTATTAAACCCCTATAATTATTGTTTTCTACAATAGGTGGCGTGGTTGCGCGTGGATACACAGACCATATTATCTATAGCTGGCCATGTTATCACCAAGAATCATCGTATCGCAGTAACTCATAGCGACAGGCGCGTATGGTTCCTGCATATTTTAGAGGTTCGGCAAGCCGACCGAGGCTGGTATATGTGCCAGCTCAACACTGACCCTATGAAGAGTCAAGTCGCTCATCTAGATGTAGTAGGTAAGTCACATGATTATGAAACATAAGCTGTCGCCCGCGACTCCGCCCGCGCAGTATTATTAAAAAATAATAAGTAGCCTATGTGTTCTTCCAAGCTGTTCTACATCAATGCCAAATTTCAGCGAGAACCATTAAGACGTTCTAGATGTACCTTTTAACAAACATCCATCCAAATATTCGAATTCATAATATTAGTTACATGGAATGCTAGCGACAATAACAAATGTAGAAGTAAAACAGCTAAGGCTTACCAATCTCGCTTGCTATTTTCTTGAGCGAAATATCAAATCGCGCGGCTAGTTCAGTAGAAAAAGAATCATACGACATTGGTACGGTTTTTATTCATTACTCTTCCTTGCTGCAGTCTTCATTGTAGTCGTAGGGTCTATAGAAACTGACGTGTGTTTAGAATCATACACATCTTGAACTATGTGCAACAACTGTATAATAAATTTTACTGAAGCCGACGTAACTCGTAGTCAGGCTATCGCACGTTTTAATGGTCAACCTACAATACGACTTCGAACATAATTCTATTAAATCTGTAGCAAACCTCGGAATTACGAAATGGCGTTCTTAGTTCTGAGAACAATCAATGGTCAATCATCTACTGAATTTAAAACTATAATTTTACATATAATATTTATTTTATGTAAATACTCAAAAGTAATTTGTATATATAATTTCTCATGATTTCAAAAGGGTAAATATTAACATTTATAGGGAAGTATTAAAACTCCTATGAATAAATATTATAAAATAAACACTACAACATATAATCAACCACATTTCGTTGAAAGCTTTTTATCATTTCGAGTCCATTTTCATTATCGTATTCATTTAATTATTAGCTCGATTACAATTTGTTTTGAAGTCGATATTTGAAATCAGTTATTACTTTTAACATAATTTTGCGTTCTATGGAATAATTTTACTCCTAATAATTGAAAAGATCACGATATGTTATGCTAAAAGACGATTATTCGACATTGGCTAGCTCTACCACTTTTGATGATAGGATTTTGTCAGTGGGATTGTTTATTTATTTAATATTTTCTTATTTAGTGCCACCGGACATATTGGACTATGCAACGAGTGGGGATCAAGTTGTGCTAGAAGGTTCTAACATAACTCTACGTTGTGCCGCCCACGGTGTTCCCACGCCCACTGTTATTTGGAGAAAGGAAACCGGTGATTTGCTTGACACAAAGAACTTCAGTGATGTCCAAAGTAAGGTCAAAATATTATCAAGTTCTTACAGTAATTCTTATCCTGCGTAAATGTAGTTTTTATTAACATGATGCCAAGACATAAAAATGATCGTTCCTTGAAATTTTTTATCATTTCATTCAATTAATTCTCAGCATTATCGACACTAATTTTTATTGTTGTAGCCAGGTCATTTGAACAAAATTATATATTTTTGGGATATTAATGATCAAATGTTTCACATATTTCACGGAAAATGTTAACAAGTTGTAGCGAATAAATTACACACCACCAATGAGGAAGTTGAACTTATAAAACTTTTTACATTAAAACGAGTGCTCCGCGAACTATGTTATACAGGGAAAGCTTCTCTGCAACTACTCGTACATCCACAACATAAATAAACGATCTCGCCACCGCATAATCTTGAGTTAGAGGTTACCATAAGTTGTTTTAATGCACTACAAATTACAACCAAACTAAGTGCACATTAAGTCTTCACTTTTTGAGATTCTTTTTTATATATACTCAAAAAGAAAGAATAAGAACCTCTTATATTTATTTACTTTATAATATATAAGTATCGAGTGTTATTTACAAAACGAAATTTATTTTATACGAATCTGCATTATCAACGAGATTATCGCATTAAAAAGATGGTAAGAGAACCAGCACGAATACGAAGTCTCTGTTTCCCGTTCCGGTGACAACGACGAGTGCTCTTTTAATTTATTTTCTAGGCATTATTTACAGATCAATCGATAAGCGGATCAAAGTTAGAAATAGTGAAGATATCACGTGTACACATGGGCGCGTACCTCTGTATAGCCAGCAATGGAGTGCCGCCTTCAGTTAGCAAGAGAATCACGTTAATTGTACATTGTAAGTAAACACATAACCCATGCGATGAAAAATATTACACTGGTATCTACTGACTTCTACAAAATGACTGGCTATAAGACGTAGTTAATTGTGCATATTTGATTTTCGCCATTTTGGAGCTGATAGTAGGAGTTTCTAGAGGTGGTGTGGATTAGAACTAATACTATATTAGAGATAGAGATTAATAAAAGATTTAACTCCGTAACGTAGCTTGATATTGGCATTTACACCATCAGCCTTATGATTTTAGATATAAGCAAAACTCAACACATTCTATGCCACCGATTCGACTGCAAGTTTACTGTAGTATGTGAAAATCGTAGTGGCATTGAACGTGTTAAATATCATTTTACAGTTCCACCAATAATGACAATACAAAATCAACTAGTTGGAAGTATGGATGGAGAATCGATTGTACTAGAATGTCATTCGGAAGCATTTCCTAATTCTATTAATTATTGGACATTTAACGGTCGTATTATTTCACAAAGTGAGTATATCTTTTAAGTTCTAGAACTTTTTTTTTAATATTAGCAGATTTTTGTCTTAATTTACTAATATTTCTTGTACCATTCCAACTAAACTCTAGGCTTGTGCTAGAATATGGTTTAAGACTATAGTCGAATGATGGGATTCGAACTCTGACCACATGATCGGAAATCCGTACCCTTAACCATTAGGCTATTGGCGCTTTGAACTAAACTATTCAATTACAGATATTATACTGATTTATTTTTACAGATGACAAGAAATATGAGATTAAAGCTATTGATCGAGGCTATGAAGTAGATATGAAATTAAAAATTAAAAAAGTAAACAGAGATTCCTATGGTACATATACATGTGTATCGAAAAATTCACTCGGAGACACCGACGGCAGTATAAAGTTATATCGTAAGTTGTATGTTTTTACTCTGATACGTTTTATAACATTGGGACGGCAAATAGTTAACGTGGTTAGCAAGGACAAGGTTAGCGTGGTTTGGACATATCAGGCGGAGGGATGATGATGTAAACAAAAAAGTATTGACGTTAAATGTGGATGGCTCCAAAGGTAGAGGAAAACCAAAGAAAGTATGGATGGATTGTGTGAAAGATGATATGCGTAGGAAGGGGGTAGATTCAGATATGAAGGTTGATAGCTGATATGTATGGAGGAACAGTACATACTATGCCGACCCCACGTAGAGATAAGAAAGAGCAAGTTAATGATGGGTCGATAAAAAGTAAAACATTATTTCGACTTCATCATGCTCATAGTAAATTGTCATCAAATTAAATATTATCGTTACTAAGGACTCATGATAACAACGTAAATAAATTATCAGATTCACTCTTTCAAATAGATGTCTATTCGATAGTTTTTTTTTTAGTTTCGATACCACCAAAGACATATTACAGAACCAATAAAGAAAATCATATCACACGTGATTTGTAGAAAGCTATTAAAAATAAACATAAAAGCTATGAAACGTTGGCAAACATAAAAAACCAATAAAATCATATATTTCGCTTTCACAAGAATCGTTAGGATTGTAAAAGTCAACAACGATCCATGCAATCTCGTAGGCTTATTTCACTCTCATGTAGGTTATTAGAAATAGAAAAAATGTTCTCTTTTTAGAATAACATGTGTAAATATTAATAACTACTGAACTGATTTCGATCTTAGTTATATTACTAACTCTTACTGATGTTATAAATGCGAATTTATAAATGGACTGATTGATGGATGGATGTTTATTTAAAAGTATCTCCGGAACGGCTGCATGGTCCTCGCTGAAATTTTGCATAGATGTAGAAACATAGTCTGGTAGAACACCTACTACTTATTAAGTTAGGTTTTAGTTGCGCAACAACGGTGTTTTAGGCGACAGCTGGTGACCTTATAAATGTAAATCTTCTATGGATGTAATAAATAAAAATATCATAAAATTTTTAAAACGTGAAGCGAAAACTTTGTAACTCTTTTTAAATTGTTAAAACGGATTGGACTTGAAATTTAGCATAATTAAAGTTCTGGAGAATAAGTGCATATAACGATTTTTATTTCAAGCTAAATGTCGCCTGCGACTTCCTCCGCGCGGAATTAAAAAAAAACTTAAGTAGCCTATATGTTCTTCCAGAGTATGATCTATGTCTGTGTCAAATTTTATCAAGATCCGTTCAGCCGTTCTGGCGATACCTTCAAACATCCATCCTTTGGCTTTGCATTATGGTCGAAATTCGACCAATTGTTGACTTTCAAAAAAATTAATGTGTTCTAACGAATTATCCATTTAAATAAAACTCGCAAAACTTTCCAGAGAAGGTACTTGACTTAATAATGTTAGGTAATAATAATTGTAGTATTATTTTTCCCTTATTTTTAATATCGCAGTCAAGTTTAAAGTAGACAAAGAAAAATGACATTAAGAAGATTATAAAATGAAAGCTAAAACTTCAAAGTCAGAAACAGTGTTCAATATTCTAAATAAAACCAAGTTTTTTTTTAGCTCATTATATTTCCACGAAAAGCACTGTAAGGCTCATAATCTTTTATAATACGTCCCACGATTTACTGTTTGTTTTACTCTTTTTACGTACACTCGTTACCTAGATTCCATGGTTATTCCTTTGATGTACTTTAAAAAGGGAATCTACGCCTATTAATATTTCGCAGAAACGAACAAGTTGTGGTTTTATAATTAATTGACTTTTATTTCAGATCATATATAATTGTTTCGAACAGTGAAACGTGCATTTGATAATATAATATTGCGGGGTTTTATCTTTTGATATTAAATTTATAGTTTTTTGCAGCAATATCAAGTAAATATGAAGACCTGCAATATAACGATGTCAATGTATTCGATAAAAGCCTAGACGTGAGTGAACTTGAGGCACAGAAACGAAGTCGGGCTTCCAAACTAGTGTTAAATGACTATTTAAATATTAAGTCAACGCTTTTTACTCTAATCGGTTATATTGTAAATACACAAATATATTGTTACATTTAAATTTGTGCGTTTTATTTATTGTCCTATTGGCTATGAACTTATTTTTTGTTATTTATTTGTTTTTTGTTATTGATTTATTTTTTTGTTTTTTATTCACTTATCTCTTCTAGCTTCTTGATTTAAAGTTCGTTTACTTGCAATTGTTATAACGACGTTGCCGATTTCCAAGACAATGAATAAGCTCAAGGCTTTATAGGACCTACAAACATAAAGCTTATTGTAAGTATACAATTTAATACTATGAATAGCTAACACTGTTTCTTAAAATATCGTTTTTATATGATACATACATACGATTTCAATAATTATTACGAGTATATTTCGTCGATAGCTCATTATACATCATCATTGTGAGGCTCAGAATCTACTTAATTTAGGGGTGACTAGACCATAGGCAACCACGCTGGCCAATGCGGTTTGGTTGACTTCACACATATGAATTTCTTCGTTTATATGCACATGTTGCATCACGATGTTTTACTTTACCCTAAGAACGTCACATAAATTTACATAAAATTCAAAAATTTAAAACACATTGCTATATGGTGGGGAAGAACCTGCACGTTTTAGATTACGATCCGGTCCGATTAAGCGCATAACTGTGCTACCAAAGCTCTTTTATAAGCGTAAATATTTATGTTTCGATATAAACAGAAGTAGTTAAGTTGTATAAAATAGAATATCGGCTTAGAAATCTCATAACACTAATGGACTACCAGTGGTGTTTGCTTAGACCGCGAGCTATCTTTGTATAGATGACCTGCATCAAAGCTCTCTTTACTTTTTGAATTAGGTTAGCGCGCGGCCACACTTCAATGCAGGTACGAGCACAAGCTATTTCGAAGTGGTCAGTAAAAACTTTTAGCTAGGACTTGTGTATTTTGTAAGGAGGACGAAGTAGTTAAATCAACTAACATACATATAAAACATTTGATTTAAAATTGTCCAGAGATGTTAAGAATTTCATATATTATTTCTAAAACCTTTCTTTACAAAAAGTACAGACACATTTTAAATGCATGACCTACATTTCCACAGACATCTTAACAAATGTACTAAATTATGAATAACATGTATAATAATAATATTGTAAAAAGATTAGATTGATTTGGTTTATTTGGATAAATCCAAAAAATACCGAACCAATTTACAAAATTCACTAACAAAAAGAGGAACATAATCAACTTATCAACCACTTTTTTTATTAATCTATACTACTACTAGCTGTCGCCCGCCACTCCGTCAGCACAGAATTTAAAAAAAAACTTAATAAGTAGCCTATGCGTTCTCGCAGACTATGTTCTACATGTATGCCGAATTCCAGCGAGATCCATGCAGCTGGTCTGTAGATACCTTCAAACAAACATCCATCCATCCAAACATTAACATTTATATTATAATATTAGTATGAAGTATGATTAGTATGATAGTTGCACAGAGTAAGGACGAAATACAATTTACTATTGCTATACAATTTCATTTCAACAAACTGTCCTTCGTGGTTTATATTCACATGGCATAGTTTGTAACTTAATTTTGCTGTAAATCAAGTTATGTTGGACATTTACGTGGCCTCACGTTCGATTGCATCACGTATAAGTCACGTAACGGCTTTTCCACTTATACGAGTATCCTTTTACTACGTTACGTATTTTATTTGTTACGAGTAGAAGACAACGTTGTAACATTTCATTTATTCTTTTACGATTACGTCCACTGAATTTCAGTATTCTACGATACAAAAGTATCTTAATAAACAAGATATAAAGTATACAAACATTCATCATCATCAGCTTACTATACGTCGACACATATCTTACGATTTCTTCGTAGGTATGTGCAGGTTGCATCACGATATTTTCCTTCACTGTAAAAAAGTCGGATAAATGTACTCATGTAAATTGAAAAACACATTGTTACATAGTGGGATTCGAACCCAGGGCTTGCAGATAACAAGTCTTGCTCAACCTCTGAGCCACCGACACTCGTATACATACATATAAAACGTAATTTCCTTTATAAATATTTTAAATTCATACTACGAAGTATACTTTTTGACTCCGCCATTGTATCTCAATTCAACTAAATTATTAAAAGCTTAGTACAATATTTCGAATTCATTGGAACTGTTGAAATATAATCCGAAAGCAATTTAAAAATATAAAATCCTCAAAAGGCAGCGCTTCCTTATTGGAATCAAATCCTCGAAGTATTAGTGTCCGGAGGAAATTTCACACGGATGTAATATAATAGAAAAATCTTTCTTCGCATTTATACTTTTATTGTGCGATATTATTTAGAAATGAAAATGTGAGCTAAGAAAACTGAATCATTATAAAAAATGGCTACCCATTTGTTACATGTCTGTTACTCTATTTTATTAAATGTTGTGGTCACATATTCCAACAGTTATTTTATATATGAAATAACTTATATATTTTAAGTGTTTTCAAAACATTCCCCTACCTATAAAAGAATATACCAGTGCCATCGCTACATGACAAGTGCTTCAAAACTAAAAACAAATTGATGTTAGAAAATCAAACATAAATCTTGCTGTATTGAACTTGCTAAAATATAAGCAATATATCAATTTAAATCAGTGTTATTGATTATGTAAACGAAGATGAATGAGTAGATTGTTTCGAAAAATAGGAATACAATGCGCGGTAAATAAAAATAAGGACTATCAACAAACGCATGCGGGTGCCAACGACTAATGTAAACGGTTCTTTTATGCGAGCGCTATGGCATGCGAGAACAAGAAATGTCTCGTATCAGCTCACTATACGTCCGTACCGAGGATCTCGCAGCCTACCCTTAGTTAAGGGTGATTAGGCCATAGTCAACCACGCTGGCCAAGTGCGGGTTGGTTGACTTCACAAATATCTTTGAATTTCTTAGACATGTGTAGGTTGCTAATAAATTATTCAAACTTTCGTGAGACATTCTACTAAACTGATATATAAACACGACTGAACACTCACGTATATACGTCCGGTGGCGGCACCGACTATGTGTAGGTTGCATCACGATGTTTTCCTTCACCGTAAGAACGTCGGATAAATGTACATATGTAAATCGGAAATCGAAAAACACATTGGTACATGGCGGGATTCGAACCCAGGACCTGCAGATTACAAGTCAAGTGCTTGACCACTGAGCCACCGACGCTCATGCTATATAACGACCGAATTATTGATTAATGAAACTATGTCCTAATTCGTAACGTCCTACTGTTATGCTACGAATACCAGTCGCATGTTACAGTAAAGCTACTTAAAAGATCATAGGAACGATATAGCACTGTTTTATTTAATGTGTGTTTTTATGTATAATAGAATAATAATAAATACATAAATATAATAGTACTTCTCAAATTTTAGCATTAAATAAATAATAATTGGCACAGCGGGAATTTTCCGTTCGGTTCATTAAGCGTAGCCTTTACACTAAAGCAACGCTTGCAAAGTTCAACAAATGACATTAACTGTGTAATATATTGGGACTATAATATTTTTGGGCTATATCAAAAGCATTCATGCAAAAATCTTATTTTATTATGGATATTTTTGCTTTAATTTGGTAAAACGAAGACTAATAACAATATATAGTAAGTTTTAGGCACAGAAGCAGTGTGATTTATCATCTTCTATAATGAACTACATTTTTAAACAACTATAAACATCTCGATCTCGATATTTTAAACAACTCGATTCCTTTTTATTCTACCGCAAAAGAGGGTAGTTAGAAATCACTGTAAAGCGCGAGGTGGGGGGGGGGCTGTGCGGGTAGGGCAGTAAGTCGGCACAGTTGAGTGTTAGCATCGATAGTCGACGGAAGGTGGACGGAAAGAATTACACATAGGACGTGTCGACTGTGTAGCGTGCAGGGTCGCTTAACTTTACGCCGTGTTGGGATCGGTATCGACACGTTTATAGTGCGCTTACGGGAAGAAGTGCATCGGGCGCATCATCATCGACATTGACAGAGTGATCAGGCACTTGCAAGCTGTGAACGGGCCATCGAGTTGGTAAGAGCTACTTAATTTATTTACAATATTATGTGGTTGTGCCACGGGATTCTAACGCGTCGGTTACGGCACACTAAGTACAAGCAACAATCTGAAGCCTCAATCATAGACAGTTAGATGTCAATTGATGCGTATCCATACTAGCTATGTCATAGAGATTCAGTTATTTGGGGTTTATTTCTTAGGGTGAGTTTCCACTAGCAACTATTTTCTGTCACATTCTCTTCAATGAAACAGAGAACATTATATATTTTTGTTCAGGTATTTCGGCTGTAAGAAACTCGCGATTGTAAAAAATAACAACGATTTTGGTTCGTAAAGGCGGTATGAATTACAAAGGAACATCCTTGTTATGCCGATTGACCCTAGAATATATTGATGTTGATGTCAAAAACACTTATTACGTCGCTTTGTCGTGCTCTTCAATATAAGAAAAACAAAAATTCTTAGATCTTGTTTATTTAGGGATCTTCAGTCGAAGCAAATTAAATTCCAGGAAAATGTGGTTCTACGTTGTTTACGTTAACATATATTTTTATTTCTCATATACATTTCAAATACAAAGAAACAGAGGCCATAGAATTTATTTTGTGAATCATTTTAAAACAGTGGCAGACATTGTCTCTATAAACGATTTTTTTCTTCAGTATAAGCAACAATTGCCGGATATACAAGCTAACACACGAACTTATATTTCGATAGTATTTAACAGTACTAATAATAATGAACCACAATGAATAGGATATTTTTTTTAATATAAAATAAAAATAACAAAAGAAATTACTAAGAACCCGAACAATTCGTTGAAGTCAAGGTATAATGTGTCAATGACCCTGGACGATGTAGCAATAGAGGTCAATAACGCTAAATAAAAAAATAAACGCTATAATCGGTAAGATCTACAATGTTATCAAAGAAAGACGATGTATATCGATTGCGAAATTAAAAAACATGAGCATAATAAATTAAATTACAATTTTTTTAATACAATAACACAAAATAATCGTGATTAGGTTTATCAACTTGACCTTATCCCTACGGAGGGCGGCACATATTACTCTACATCTCTATCAGCCGTCATATCTGAATTCACTTCTTATTCTTACACAATCCGTATATACTTTCTTTGGTCTTCCTCTACCTTTGTACCCATCATCAATCTCATTACCTTTTTGTTTTGTTATACAATTGTGATTAGGTAAATAATTATATATATGACATCGTATTTCATTAACATTACAAAGGATATAGTTACACATTGACTCGCTGTGTATATCCGATACTGTCCTGTCACACCGCAAATTAATGTCAACTATAGATTTAATACTCGTTGATTTTGAATCCGATACTTAAAGTATTATTGTGTAAGTTAAATAACGTTACATAAACAAAACCACATAATGAATCCGAACAGAAGTTGTAAATAACAAATAATAAAATATGTTTTATTTACTGTTCACCTCAAATGACTTTATATACCGACATAATATATAAAATGTTAAAGCCAACCTCTTTATATTGATATTTTAATACATAATACACACTAATATTAATATAACAAAGCGGAAAATAATATATTTTTGTAAATATGAAATTCAAAAACAACTGAACCGTAATCTTTTGAAACATTCTTTGACTATGCTACATTATCTTTGGGTAATACGAACTAAAGTTTATTTATAAAATGAACATAAAATAAATGACTACAGAAGCAAAGCCGGGACTATTTGAAGTATTAAATATCTTCATGTCAGTATGTATATATTTCATTCGTCATTTGTATTATCTGGAGATTAAAGCTTACTTTTCTTGGAGCGTAATGGCTGTAATAATAAGACGAAACTGATATCAATTACGAATTCCAACAACGGGAGAAAATAATAAATAATTTTACAGAAAACATTCTATTTATATTGGAGAACCATTTTGAATATTATTTCTTTGGAAATGGTAAAAGATATAACAAAAAATACATAATAAACGGTAATGGTAACATGAATTGTACAATAATTACATGGAATATTTCTTATTTTTTATCATAAAAAAAGTAATTTCTTATTTTTTTTATATTATTTCTGCGTGAAATTAGTATATTCAGATAATACGATAATAAAATATAATAAAACATATATTGAAATAGTATAAATACGCTATTTTTTTACAACCCAAATGTGATAATTGTTTTTTTGGCGTATGTTCTGTTACTGTACAATTTAAAAGTATAATATCATTTATTATTTTACTTTTTTCATGTATTTATCGTCAAAATGATAATAATAACAAATATAAACTCTTTTAATAATTTATCCTTGATTTTTTCAGACGAATTTTCCAGACGACTTGACAATAGATAAATGGGAAGCGCTATAAAGACATTACGATAAAATGAAATTTAAAGTCGCATTTTTTCTGCAAATTCTTGACAAAAATGGAACTAGCTTTATACTCAATTTAAATGGAATGGAATTAGATTTGTTAATTTGTGTCCCTTTATTCTTTTCATAATTATTATACTTGACCAGAAGTATATAATGCGAAAACAAAATTACTCATGTGTCGCAACGGTTTCTTTACCATATGTCTAAGCTTGGTTCATGACGTTTTGGATATGTCAAAATCGACCAGCTCTTACTGCTAGAGCCATCTACTGATAAACAGGAGAACTTAGTTGCGCACCTAATATAATTATCGAGCTTTGTCTTGCAGTTTTACTCATGCCCATACGTCGACAGGTCATGTAGGGCGATTTTAAATAACGTATAAGTTTAAATAGTATAACATAAAGTATCTTATAGTTAGTACGAATTATAAAACTTTATGCTTTTGTCTGCGGCATTATTTCTCTTCCACAATGAAAAGTTAGACTAATCGATCTTTTAAAATATTTTAACTAAACACAAGTAATTAATTGTCAACCTTTGTTAGTTCACATTCAACGTGAAACAAATAACTTTCGAAGCCTAAATCAACCCTAGCTGGAGGTTAGTAATGGTGTTAATTAATCTCTTCATTCTTATTCCGTTGACTAATGTATATTTTGTTTTCGTCGCGGCAAGACTGATCACAGTATTTTTTTTTACTTAATAGCTGTAGTCCGTGATTCTGACGGTCAGAATTAAAATATTAAACTTAATTAGTACCCTAAGTGTTCTTACAGACCAAGTTCTACATCTATGAAAAATTTCAGCGAGATTCTTTAAGTCGTTCTGGAGATACTTTCCAATAAACATCCATCTAAACATTCGTATTTATAATATTAATTAACAAGATACAAAAGTGTTAGATGATTAAAGATTAAATAAACAGATTGAAGTTATTTACATCTACAGGAAACGCAATAATAAATTCTAACGTAACACATAAATGTTATGTACATAGTAGAATTACTTTTACTTATTTACTTATGAGACGTCGGTGGCTCAGTGGTCAAGCACTTGACTTGCAATCTGCATGTCCTGGGTTCGAATCACGCCATGTACTAATGTGTTTTTCGATTTCCGATTTACATATGTACATTTATCCGACGTTCTTACGGTGAAGGAAAACATCGTGATGCAACCTGCACATATCTGAGAAGAAATTCAAAGATATGTGTGAAGTCAACCAACCCGCACTTAGCCAGCGTGGTTGACATTTTTTTTTTCTTTTTTCAGAGGGGAATGCTTTATGCATACTCCGCGCCCCGGGGGGGACGCGGTAGTTATGTGGGATTCTCTTCCGGATGGGAAGCATACCCACTAAACCCCTCTGTTCCTCCAACGCATCGGGACGGGACCACGGGCACGCTTTCGCTCTCGTCCGCGGCCCCGTCTGCGCCAGCTGCCGAGGCAGCTCCCTCTCGGGGGGGAGGCGACCCTCAGTCGCCGGTGATGGACTCCCCCGTGTCCATCACCAGAGGGCTATTGTGGGGGGGGGAGGGCGGCGATATACTGCCGCCTTCTCCGCCCCACTCTTCTACGTCTGAGCGGGGGCGCCAGGGGATCTCCCTCGCGCTCCTGCTCTTTTGCCTCCCTCTGCGAGATAACTGACTCGCAGAAGGAGGCAACCGCTGTCCATGACCTCTCGGTTCCCAGCATAGCGCGTATGACGCCAGGAAGCGAGAGGTCGCTCCCGATCGTCGCCACCAGGGTGCGGCGCTCCTCTTCATGCGCGCAGCAAACCTCGAGGGTGTGCTGCGCAGTATTATCCCCGTCGCCGCACCCGTGGCACGACGTCGTTTCCTCCCTTCCGATTCGACACAGGTACCGCCCGAAGCATCCGTGCCCAGACAGCACCTGTGTGAGCCGGAAGGTCAGGGAGCCATGGCTCCTCCCGAGCCACTCCGGGAGCTGTGGGCGTATGGCCTCTATAGTGCGCCCGCCGTATTCGGCATCGGGTGAAGGCTCGGCGGGCGGTATTGCTGGAGGCACGCAGGACTGCGAGGTCCCGCGTCCACCAGTACACGCCCTGCCGAGGTGCAGGGCAGCTTGCCCTGGGCATCGCCGCGTCGCAAACCGCTGTCAAGTCCCGACGGAACCTGGCAGCCCTTTCGTCGACCCCCACTGTTTGGGGGGGGTCCGCAGCCCACGCACGGACTACGGCCGCTTCTTCTGCCAGGTCCGCGTCGAGACGCGACAGCTGCCACCTCGGAAAGGCGCTTCGACCGCCCGTCGTCGAGGCCCGCAGCCCAGGGGGCGCGGTGGAGACCCTGAACCTTATGTAAAGGTGGTCAGACAGAGTCTCCACGTCCTGCAGGACCCGCCAACACGCGATGCGTGCGCCTATGCCGGGGGTGGCGAAAGTGACATCTACCACTGAACCCCCCGGGCGCGCACGCACGTGAAGGCGTTGCCCTGGTTCTCCGGGGCCAGGCCAATCATTATTGCAGCGTGGTTGACATGGCCTAATCACCCTTAACTTAGGGTAGGCTCCGAGCCCCTCGGTGGGGACGTATAGTGAGCTGATGATGATGATTTACTTATTTTTACGAAATACAAATATAAATTTTCATATTCAATACAAATATTTATAACTTAGCCATATCTTGTTACCGGTTTGTTAAATTCTATTGGAATGTATTAAAAATGATTTCATTAATATAAAAGAATGCAATATTTAAATTAAATAATGATATAATTTCAAGATTGTTCTTTCCCGCAATAGTAATTAAATTTATGACGGTAAAAATCGTCGAAAGGGTTGAAATATAAAAGAGATTTACACTAACAAAGGAAATTAAATGGCCCTAACTTGATTCTGTCCCCGTAATTATATTTCTGCCATTACCTTTTCAATTATGATAAAACTTGGATTAAAATTTATACTATAATTCAATTATACTTTTATACCATTATTAAAATGAATTTAATATATATGTATATAAAAGAAAGTCGTGTTAGTTACACTATTTATAACCCAAGAACGGCTTTACCGATATGGCTGAAAATTGGTAAGGAGGTAGCTTAGAGCCAGGAGAAGGACATAGGATACTTTTTTTTTCGAATATACGCCTTGACGCGCTGCTTTTTATTTAACTTATAAATATGTGTAAATGTTAAGATGGATGTGATGTGGATGGATGGATGGATGGGTGGCCTAATTAAGTTTTTTATATACCCACGCGGACGGAGATGCGGGCGAGAGCTAAGTAAATATAAAAGCATATTTTAGTAAAAAATATATCATGTAAACGTAATCAACTTAAGTAATTTATTACTGTTGTCAGTTTCTTAAAACTTTCTGAATCCAAGTAAACCCTTGTCAGAACTTAATAATTGTATAACTACGAGTATGTATTCTCTACGTTATGTACAGCTCTAATTACTAAATTTTATTTTATATTTGCTACCACAAGACTAACAAATTGTTAATTATTCTGCTGTTTATTCAATTTATGGTAAAACTAACTTTTGCCCGCAACACTAATTGACTGAATTAAAAAATACTTAGTAGCCTACGATGTTCTACATCTATGTTGAATTTCAGCTAGATCTATTCGCCTGTTTCGGAGATATATGATACTCGTAACATACATCCATCCGTTCATTGATATTGTAATTAATCTTATAATATAAGAATGAATCGCAAAATATATTGGTAAGCGCATAACTCAACAACGCCTATACCAATTTGGACAATTCTTTTTTTTAAATGTTCGTTGAAGTTCAAAGATGGTTTTTACGGTGAGATAAATTCGAATAATTGTCGTGAACTATTTTTTTTTCATTTCATGCGGACGGAATCGCGGGCGACAGCTAGTATGCTATAAAAATCATTAAATATTTATTCTTCTTTATCCATTCATCTAAGTTTTTATAATATTAGTAAGATAGTTCACTATTAAATACCCTGTTCTTGTTGTTTATTAATAAATTAAAACTTACTTTTATTAAAATGGGTTATGAAAACTCGGAATCAAAAGAGTAATGTACAGCCATTATTTAAAGTGCTTTCAACGATGTGCATTAAAGAATTGCCGGTAAAAGATTCATAAGCGCTGTGACAATCAATAGAGATTTTAAAATGTACCGCTTTGAACAATTTAAAATAAGCACACGTAATACTCATATTTTAAATAAAATATTAATGTTATAATATTGTAATATTATCACACGATGATCTATATATAAAAGAAAGTCTTGTTAGTTACACTATTTGTAACTCATGAACGGCTTTACCGATATGGCTGAAAATTTGTGAGGAGGTAGCTTAGAGCCAGGAGACGGACATAGGATACCATTTATTCTTTTTTTATCGAATTTATGCCTTGAAGATGCTCCTTTTTATTTAACTTACTAATATTATAAATGCGAATGTTTAGATGGATGTGATGTAGATGGATGGATGGGTGGGCTACACTAATTAAGTTTTTTATATATTCACGCGGAGGAAGTCGCGGGCGTAATTTAATATAATTTGATTATTTATAAATAAATAATACAAAATGTATTTCAAAATTAATTTATTAGGGATTATAGTTTCCCCAAATCTACTACTTGCGTTTATTTTTCATGATCACGGATCTCTCTAGTCAACCCAGCTCACTGTGAGAATCCAGCAAACTTTTTTTTCTGTTGATAATATTAAAAGTAAAATTGTTCGTTTCCCAAAAAGGTACAAATTAGTGATGGCAAAAAATGTTAAAAGGGTTTTATTGCGAAAGAGGTTTGCATTAACAAAGGAAATCAATTGATGTAACGTGACAATTACGTCCTAATTGTATTTGAAACGATTCTTCTTCAATTAAATTTTGTTTCTGCTCGACTACTGAAAGTAGACTAATGCTCATCGCGGATATTTGAATTTTTTCAGTAGAACTTAATGTTTTTATCCCCGAAATACCCGAAACCCTTATAGGATCACTTTGTTGTTCGTCTGTCTGTCTGTCAAGACTCTTTTTTTTAAATTTTATTTAGGGTTCCGTTCCTCATAAGAAAAAAAACGGAACCCTTATAGAATCACTTTGTCGTCCGTCCGTCTGTCTGTCAAGACTCTTTTTTTAATTATTTTTAGGGTTCCGTACATCATAGGAAAAAAATGGAACCCTTTAGGATCAGTTTGTTGCCCGTGCGTCTATCAAGACTCTTTTTTTATAGAATATTTGTTGTTTTTCAATTTAAAGGTTCTATTAATAGAATGTTGTTTTATTCTATTTATAGTTTTAAACGGAAATTAAATGAAAAGTTATTATTTTTCAATGAAATAGATAAGAATAGAAATAAAACTTTGAAATCTCTTCAATTTTGTTTAGGTTACGCCGACGTTCGCTTTGTTCGCATCGATCTTGTACCTACTATTAAATGTACGCTTCGGTCGCAGGTTATATTTGGACAACATGTTGCTTAAACTCGCATCTTCAATTCAGTAACGGACAATATTAGACACTGCATGCAATAGACATGTTACAAGTAAACTCACTTTACTATTAGTGGCCTTACTAAATCTTTAATTTAGTATTATTCGTTTTTCCATTTAGTTATTAATTCATCATATATTAATTACTAGATGTCCCCCCCAACTCCATCCGCGCGGAATTAAAAAGAAAACTTAATTGAAGTCTATGTGTTCTTCCAGACTATGTTCTGCATCTATGCGAAATAACAACGAGATCTGTTCAGCCGTTCTAGATATACCTTCAAACATACATCCATCCAAACATTCGCATTTATAATATTAGTAAGAAGGAAGTTGTATTTGTATACACTCTATATAATGAATATGACTCAATTACTCAAAGTAACCTACATTACACGCGTTATCCAAAATAATTGCCTTTTGTTTCTGTCTCGAGTATACATATAGATAATTTTTACTTAGTAAAATTCAACGGCAACAAATTGTGAAATAGATTAGTGTAGATTTCTTATACTAAACCTATACTGATGATCATCAGTCATCACTTAAATTCTCTGAGTGCGGTAGTTAGTACAAAAAAGAGGCTCAAAACGTACATATGGACTGAAATAAAGTGAATGATGAAGCTATGAAAATTGAGCTTTGGGTTTTATGTTTCGAGGATACGAGTAATATTATTTTGAATTTAAAACGAATGAATGCGATATCGAAAACAAAAGAACATACAGCTCGTATTTTTATTGTAAACTTTGAATGACGTGAAACTTTTTAGACACATGTTGTCTCTGTTTTTCTCCAAAGGAATGTGGGGGATAAAAATATGTACACATCAAGGTTATTAAAAGTAATAATACTTAATAAAAAATCAATTAAACACATGAATGAATCTACAAATATAATATTTGAAAACGTTTTTTTTTTTTAATTTAACAAAGATCACTTTTGAAATTGGAAAAGGTAATGGTCCGAGAACAATTTACTGCGATTAATATCAAACGATGACATTTCATTTCCCTTTCGAACACCTAATCTATTCGCCTGTTATCTAGCCCTTAAAAAATATTTCAACATTTTATTTGAATTGAAAACTTTTTCAATGCTTTTTTATATCTTTTTTTATGAAAACATACGTGTGAATAGAATAGAATTTTTATAGTGTGCGTAGTACAGCAATACCAATTAAAGCATTTGGTTTTTTATCTGTGCTGTGTTTTCAATAAACTATGTTTTTTATACTAAGAAGCTAAGCCCTTTACTCTATATTTTTTTAATTTATAACGTCGTCTACATTGCTTTAATTATTTCGACTAAAAGTTCCGTTTAGATATATTTTTCTTATAAAGTAATCTATTTATATGTATTATATAAAAATCAATAGCTAGCGAGACTAACGAATAGTCTCGCTAAAACTCGAAAACGGCTGAACAGATTTTTCTTATCTTTGTCTTGAAATGTTCGTGGCGATCTAGGGAAGGTTTAAAAGTTGAGAAAAATTCAAATAATTGCCGGGAACTAATTATTACTTTTTTCATTCCATTCCAATACAAAAAGACTAACTGTATTTTATCAGAAAGTACAGTTAGACACTGTTTAGTTAAACCCTATTTTTAACCCTTTCACCGCCGGTGATTAATGTTATGTCCATCATTGTGGATATATGATAAATTCTTCAAGTAATACAGAGAAAAAAACAACTCAACTGTAGTAAAGTGAACTATAAAAACGTCTTATATAGTTTACTTAGGGTACTCCCGACGGAGTACAAAAGGAAAAGAAAAGAAACATATGAAGCTCTGCCGTACAAAAATGTTCTCACAAAGTAAACTTTGCCGGTATTAAATGCATTTATTGGATGTCTGTCATAATAACCAGGAATTTGAAATATTGTGATACTTGCATATGAATACTATAGCTATCTCCGTTTATTCCGTGAGAATGAAAGAGATGGCATTAATCACAACAGT